GGGCACAAACCGCCAAGAACAGGAAAAGGTTAGCTTTGCCCGCCATGAGCCGACGTTCTGAAGATTCAAATTTGTCGATTGCTGAAAAGATGAACGTGCGGGCTCTCAAGTCGGCCGGTTTAAAGACCGTGCCCCAGCAGAGCAACATGTCGGAGTGGCTTGCTTTTCGGAAGTGCCTTGATGTTCAGGGGGATAGGCACGCAGGGTGGGAGGACATCTTTTCTACGATCCTCGCTTCGTCAACCATCCTGGCACAGGGCAACAGAACAGAAGACCTTGAGTTGGCTGCAGGATTCATGCAGTGTTTTACTGCGCAGTCAATGTCTACGGACGCCCTGACGAACGTGCCGTGGGCAAAGGAGATCCGCCATCTGTCCGAGTTGGAACATGACTCACTGTGGGATCTGAGCTTGCCTACTGAGTACGTCCCTGGGACATCAAGGCCGGCGGTAGACGTCGTGCCCACCATCTATGTGGTGACTTCCGATTCAACTTTGGCTCTGATCACTGGAAAGGGTAAGACTTTGAAGAAGTACACCTTGAAGGAGGATCTGGGATTGCGAAAATCAGACATGGTTCTCGAAATCGGTCATGACATGCTCTGGGGTAAGGATTTACAACAGCTCTGCAAAGCAAATATTTCCATGATCAAGGAGCTGATGGCAAAATATTCTTCTCATGGATCAGCCATCAGGGTTATTTCGGTGATCTTTTGGTCTGGAAATGAAATTTGTGGGGAATATGGTGTTGAACCCCTTCCCATTTGGGGGCAGAGGGAACCACAGGGTGACTGGAATGCCATCATGGACAGGGTCAAAGGCAACATTGTTTGGTGGAACAATCAGCTCAAGGAGTTGGGAGTGGATCAGGCCGCCCTAATCGGCGAGCCCGACCCGCTCACTTATGGGTTGAGTCTCATCTTCACGACGTTTATTGAACGTCTGAAGGAATGGTTCCACAAGGAGATTGCCAGTGATAACGATCGGATTCGGTGGATCAAGAATGACATGCTTCCACCGAGGCTTGAGCTCAGGGACTACTTTCACGCATTCGAGACCGAGCTCAACCGAAGCGAGATGATCGGATATGTCATGGCAACTCTCCACATGCTGCACATGACGGACATTTTGATCCCTCAGTACAACCTGTCTTTGTACAAGCGCAGGCGCCCTGCAGGTGAAGCTACAATGCGCGATGTCCCGCCAAAGATGGAGCACCTTCCAGTCAGGTTTGTGCAGGTTCCCAACTCTCTCCGGGAGAAGGTGAACAAGCCTGCACCGAGTGTCTCGACCCCAGAAAGCTTTACAGCGGAGGAGTTGAGGGATCGCCCGACTGATGCTGGTGTCGCCGAAGATGATGATGAGGAAGGCGACCCATGGGATGCTCTGGATCCCGATGAGCACGAGGGCCCATCTTTTGGCAAAGCCAAGGCAAGCCACGAAGCTCCACCTGACCCCAAGGCGAAAGCTCCAGCGACACAGGAGGATTCAACTCAGGCCACCTCAGCTGGTGAGCCCCTGCAAGAAAACGAAATCAAGGGTACCATTGTGCCAAAACACGCATTGGGACACCTTGACAAGTATCGTATCACTTTGGACGAAAACATTAATGCAGAAGTTGTTGAACATTGTGTCGTCGATTCCCATCCCTACGAATTGATTGTCAAGACCTGTTGGGAGATGGATGGGGCAAAGGAGCTAAAATTTCCTGACCGTATGGACCGGCACAAAACTAAGGTCAATGCAGTGACGCGTGGACAGCCTGGTCAGGACACCTCTGGATTTGATGAAAACATGTGGCTTGACCTTGATGATTTCTTTCGAATGTTCAACCAAATGCTGCCAGCCAAGTTGCCCAGAATGACTGTTGAAGAGCTCATCTCATTGCTCTACTGGGACAGCAAGTGCCGTTTTGAGTTCCAGTGCATTGCCGGGTACCAGAAGGCAACCCGTAAAGGGTTAGCCTACTGGCCCATCAGGATCCGCGCAGTGCAGGGGCATACGAAACGTGCCATGGATGCCGCTTCAGCTGAGGACACGTTCAATGCAGTGGAAATCTATGCTCTGTCTGGAGCAGCAGCGATCCAGAAAATGAACGCCAAAGGTAAAAAGATTACCACTCCTCAGATGTGCCCTGGCGTAGTTTATCACAGGACTACAAAAGGCAATTGGAAGGGCATCATTGAGAATGGCTTCGTGGCTGGAGGAGGAGAACGAAACTCGTCAGGAAGAGCTCACTCTTATTTTAGCGACGTTCGTGTTGATGAGAAAGAGTATGTGAGCGGTTTGCGTGCTGAGCGACCCATTGAAATCAGGGTTGCAATGGCAGAAGCTGTCAAGGCTGGAATTGTGTTTTTCAGAACAGCTTCCGACGGCATTCTCACAAGCGATGTCGTCCCGCCACAATACATCATCTCTGTCGATGACACGGCCAAGAAGGTGAATCTTTATCGTCGCCAGCAGGAGATTGCACAGTCTGCAGCGAGCAGTGGGGGAGAAGTTGGAGTCCAGCAGCTTGTCGAGACCTTTGAGGCCAAGGCATCGAAAAGGACGGGTTCCACATCTCCGGCCGCCTCAACTGGCGCGCCCGCTGCAAAGACATTTTTCCCAGGAAAGGTGAAGCCTCCGCCACCAAATGTGGCCCAACTTGCCGGTATGCCTGGATATGCAAGCAGCAGACTGTTGCCCCCTCCTCCAAAGGGTGAAGCTCCGAAACCTCCTGCAGCAAAGGTTGAAGGACTAAAGACACCGCCAAAGACACCTCCAAAATCATCACCGAAGGAAGGGACTTCTGCACCTCATGCACCAGAAGTTCCAAAAGCTGTGACCTCAGGAGTTGATGCAGCGGCAAAGGATGAACCTGCAAAGAAGAAGGCAGCCCTGACAAGCGTGCCCGCAGCTGTGCCTGCGGCATCATCGGCTGCGGCCTTCTTGGAGCCTGTTCCAAAAGTTGCACCACCAAAGGCAGTGCAGAAAGATCCAAAAGCTCCAGTTGCAGAGTCACCCAAAAAGACGCCAGCAGCAACATCAAAGTCACTGGTGCCAAAGCAGAAGTCTCGCCCTAAAGGCGATGACCAACCTTCGAAGAAAGAGGTGAAGAAGGAGGACAAGAAGCCGGTGCCGGTCAAGATCGAAGTCACGCAATGCTCAAGATGTTTTGCACAGACTTTCAAGGGACAGATTGAATGCGATGTGTGTGGATTGATGCTCGAAGGGATCAACAAGGCCGATCGAACCAAGATTGCAGAACGAAGAAAGGCCGCCCTTCACAAGCTGGGCTTGTACTATGATTTTCGTGGTGAGTACCTGCAGAGCATCACACACGGCCAGCTTGAAAATTTGGGTTTGTTGGACGATCAGGCAAGAGGTAGCTCAAGTCCGGAAGCCGGTTTATTGGCAAGGGCTAAGAGTCGTTTCGATCGTGCCTTGAGTTTGGGCTATGTGTCTGTGGCTGACAGGTTTGCCCAGGACGCCACATTCGCAGAGAGCGTGCTGAACGAGGGGGAGAACGAGTACGATTGTGAAAGGTACGACCTCCTCAAATCTGCACATTTGCCAAAGCCTGGTCGCACCAAAGCTCAGGTCAAGATGGGTATTTCTGAGCAATCCCAGCTGGAGCACAATGCAATGAGGCTGGTTTACTTGGATTTGGCCAACCGTCATGACGTCCCAAAGTCTTTCAGGTACATCGACCAGCCATGGTTCTACATGTACCGAACCGAGATCTACTCCGAAGAAGAGTACATTGACTACCTCAGCAAGAATCCTGGACACAATCTTTTGTTGTCTTGCACTGGTGTTGACAACATTGCTGTTCATGATGCTGAACGTCATTTGAGGTGGATTAAGGGACAAAATGAAGAGCTGTACAAGCAGAACGCAGCAGAGAAGAAGAAACAGTCTGACAGGGCCCGCGAACAAAACGAGGCCAAGCGCAAAGCTGAGCAGACTGGTGCGTATGGCCAAGGTCCCTCCAAGAAAGGCACCGCCAAACCGGTTGCCCGACCATCCACAAGCGTAGAGGTAGCTTCATCATCAACGTCTGCAAGTCAGTGGCTCAACCGCCCTCAGCAAAGTCATTCCCACGATGATCGCCGTTACACTGGAGAGTGGCAGAAATGGCATGGACGCTGGTATGAGAAAGTCATCAGGCATGGCCGAGTTGAGTGGGAAGAGGGATAAGTTGTGACACTGCTTGCATTGACGATCGGTTTTTGTATCATAGCCGCCGTTTTGGGTTTCCTCAGGTCGTGCAAAGAGCCAGGAGCGGTAAGGCAGGTCTTAAAGACCTCGCCCTGGTAAATGGGCAGCCTTGCCGTGACCGGCTCACCTGAGGGGGGTGTATTTGCACTTCACCATTAAACCCATGTATGATAGTAGCAAGCTGACTAGCATTGCGGCTCAGGTAAAAGTAGCTTGTGCGCCGCTAGCTTAACGGTTTTCTTCCCACTTGTTATAGGCTTATCAGTCCATTTGGGTGTAATAGGAATTACCCCTGCTGAAACCTGTAAATACAAAAACAGCAAAAAACTGATGGCATCATTGACAAGATGGAGATTTAGTGCAACAAACATCATGAAATGAATATGATTGTATGATTTAATATGATTGTATAAATTATATTATATTCAGTCGATCTTTTTGTAAAACTCGTGGTTTCCTGCGTATTTTCCAGTTTTATCGATGTTCCTTTCCAGTGGAATGATGATCTCACAAGTGAATTTCATTTTTTTCTCGGGGTGTCAATGAACAGCCAGCAAGAGATAATCAAGATGATCTTCCTGTCGGAAATGGCCATGCAACATCAGTTCCAGATTTTAGGGTTTCTGTGTCGGATTATTACCTTTGCTGCCTACTTATTTGTGTTCCCCAGTTTACCAACATTTTTTACCTTTTCAAAACTTGCTACTCCCGAGACTGCGAAAAATTGTTTTGCCTGTTTAGGATCCCAACTTTTGAACCATCGGTGAAATTTGAATTAGTGACCCCAACTACAATTAGATGAATGTGGTAAATCCCAAACAATCCAGCAATGACTTTCCAGAAACGCAGAACAAATCTACCAACGGACGTTGCGGCTCAAGCCGGACGACATTTCCCGGCAAGAGAAGCAGCTGGGTTTTCTCGATGTGGGCGCCCCAACTTTTGGAAACAGAAAGTACATACCACGGAGCAGTCCTCTTTTTAGGTGATTGATGGCGGTTGTTTTCTCCAAACGTCATTGATTCCAATTTTTTCCCCAACACTGGAATCCAGATATCATGGATACCGATATGATACAGATCATACATAATGAATGATATAATGACAACATGTGACAACAACCAGTTATTATGAAATACATCAACAACCAGTTATAATGATAACATATTATGCCATCAACATATTGTTGATCATACATCAACAATCAGTTATTATGAAACTATCATGATAGGCTGGATTTGATGCCACCTTCCCCCAACGGTTCCAACGAGATCTGGGATCCACAGTCGAGGTCCCTTTGGAGCAACACCTCTTATGAGGGGCATGGCACCCAGCGCAGTGTAACGGAAACCGAATGGAACGATTGTTTTTGGGCAATGAGATCGTATATCAATATGTGTATATATATATAGGGTTGCTTTAAGTGTGTTTTCTGAGTGTCTTGAAATAAAAATAAACATAATCATCATCTGTATTTTCCCAACTTCGATGTTCTTGTGTTGTCCGCACCACTGAGGCCCAGCAAGAACGAATGGTACGAAGGCGAAGGGAAGTTCACGCAGCTTGGTCGCCGCGATACCCCCTGGATGTCCTGAAAGATCTGCTGTGCATTGCTGTGCAGATGTTCCCTCAATGAGTGGATAATTTTCACCAAATATGGAGAGTGACAGATGGTATGACTCACAATGTGAGGATAGGTCACCCAGAAATGGATGGAAATGAGGATTCCAGTCACGCGTTTTTGGTTGAATTTGACATACGATTAGAGAACGAATTGCAAGGTGCAAGGGTGTTACTTTTTGACGCTATCGAAATGGTAAACATGTCCTCCACTTCTAGCTCTTCGGAGGGTCCTGTATTTCTGGGACCAAAATGTCTATATTTTTCCGAAGACTCTTCATGTTTTTGCCCACTAGTGAAATTTCTTCCAGAATTGCCATTTATCTTAGCTACTCTTACTTATTTTTTTAAAATAGAATGCCGCTGCTGGCCATTTATAGATGATTCTCTTGAATTTCTCATTGAAATACAACAAACATGATGATATTCTCATTGAACTATAAGTGTAACCATTTAAGCAGTTTCTGATAAGATGAAACCATTTTCTACCAATCCAATCAATGCACATGATAAGATGAATCAGTGAAGTCAACATTTTTTCCTACGTTTTTTGCACTGCAAGGGCGCGCCACCCGGGCTAAACCGGGCTGAGGTTTCCCAATGGCGTAGTCTATGTAGGTCAGTGAGAAGCTCAGCCCTGCATTGTTTGGATATTTTTATGGGATTGGACCAACAACATTGATATGTTGATGGTATTTTTTTTGGTATTTTCGATTGTATTTTTGGGGTATTCTTGTGGTATTTATGGGTGGGGTATTTGTGGGGCTTAATATGATGTTAAAGGAGTCTTAAAGAGGTATTTTATGGGATTTAATGGGGTTGAATATGTCATAATTCAATAAGATTAAAATGGTATCTAAGGCACTAACATAAGGCGAGGTTAAACCCACAACATTGTTGATGATTTCCCCTAAATTTATGAATATCCTGGATATTTGTTGTTCCAATGTTCCAATGGAACAAAGGTGGACTTTCCATTGCCACGTTGCCACGATGGCGGTGAGCCCATGGCAATCATGGGTTCCCAGGTTCAGAAAAGGTGAATTCCATGGGCAAGGTGCGTTAGTCCTTGCCTCGAGGGTTCACCATGAAAGCTAAGAATTGTCAGATGGTCCTGGATTCTTGGAGATCTCCAATTTCAAAAAATTCAAAACAGCAAAATTCGTTACTTGTTGTGCTCTGCTGTTGTTTTGCACCTCAAATTGTGCTCCGTGGCCTGTGCTCTGCGGTCATGAGGTCTACCCAAATGGGGGCCGCTACCAGGCCACGTCCAAGTCTCAGAATGTTGAGATGTGCCTGTCCAATGCTAGATGATAGTTTAATGTCGTTTAATGTCGTTTTCGATAGGTGCCTGATGTGAACCTGTCATTCACAATGGAGTTCGCACTTGAGGCTTTGACCAAGGACCTGGTTTGAGTTGATCCATTTCATTTAGGAAGCGCCTGAAGGCTGAATGGAGGTACCTCCATAGTGTTTGATTTGGTAACACCACCACCACAGCATGCTATGTACCTCATTATACACTTCAAGATCCTATCAATATGTGTATTTTGGGCAAATCATGAACAGTGACACATTCATTTCCCCTGGGTTGCTAAGTTTCAGGTTCCATTGGATTTATCAACGATTTTGGGTGGCTGAGATGCCGCTTTAGCCCTGAGAAACCTTGGATGCCGGTCTGAGGTGGGAGCGAGGATACGCAGTGGAGGGCAGGCCAGCAACAAAGATGTTCGTTCGTATTACTTGGGGGTTTTTGGTAGAACAATTTCGGTGACGTATCCCAAATTTGATGGCTTTTCCATGCTTATCCTATTTTTTTGTAGTAAGATAACCATTTTGGTGGTAGACTCCATCTTCAGACATGTCTTTCTTCTTTCCGGGACCACACCAACTTGACACAACCAATGAACTTCAGGAGATGATCAATGGAAAACGACCAAAGCCCAAAAGCATGAGAGAACTCATAGCATCTGATAGCAGGATGGTTTTCCAAGCACATAATGAACCGTCCTGAGCCTGCAAAGCTTGATGCAGAATCCAACCGAACAATGACTATTTGCAATATGAACATCATCTACAAGTTGAATGGCTTGTTTTGAAGGTCCCGTGGTAGTTTTTTTTTTTTCCGGGAGCGTATTTGCGCCCAATGTTTCTTTTAGGGGGTGTACTATGAACATTTGCACACATGCCACTGATGCACATACTCAACGCCAGGTACGTCTTCAATGACGGCCTCCTGTATGAAGACAGGAACTGGCAGTATGTGTCGCAAGGTGATCGACGTTTCTACACCGAAGTCAAGGAAGGTGCTTTCGCAGCACTGATTTTAATGGGCCAATGGGGATATACTGGGGATGGAATGTGATCCAAAAGAGGTTGGGATATAGTACCACTGGACATAGGCATGTGAATCCTGAAGATGGAAACATTAACAATGAAGATGAGAATATTTTACCAATTCATTCTCAAAGGACTCTCAGAAGCATCCCATACAATCAAGGGTAATCCAAAGTACAGTACCTTTACCATTTTTTTGAAGCTTAGCTGTGAGTGTCACTAGACGCATCCATTTTGGCTGGTTTCCCGGGTCCCGGCGTTGAATGGTTCATTTCAAGTGGACAAAGTGAATTGCTCAGGGGTCTCGACAACATTTCCCAATTTTTGGAAGAGGTCAAAACACATTCATAAACTATCACAATCCGAAATGGGGTTGTCTTAAAATCGGGCGTTCGCAAACCTGGTTTATCATCATCATTTTTACCATACGTAGAAATAGCATTTGTTCAGGGAATCCCCGAATTTTGCTGTGCAGTGAGTGCTTCAAGCGTCCGAAACTTTTGAGGTCTGAAACCTGCCGGCGAGACACTCTTGACCAATGAGAAGGCACCACTTATTATTTTCGGTGGGGGAATCCGCCTCGTCCCTTCACCTCTCCCCCACTATCTAACTTATCTCTAAACTTACCTCTGTAAAATTTACATTTGTCGGACTCATGTCTACTGAATTTATGTCCATCAAACTTATTACTTCCATCAAACTTACCAAATTTGCCTCTATCAAACTTGCCTCTACCACACCTACCTCTATCAAACCGATGTCTATCAAACTTGACTCTATCCAATTTTCTCCGCCCAACTTTGTCTCTTTCTCTGCATATCTTTTCCTTCTTTTCTTGGGAAGGCTTAATATGTGTGGTTATCCGATCCATTTTCTCAAGTAACTCAAGTACTACCTTCATTAGGTTGCTGTTTGTTTACTGAGTATACTGCTTTCAATCGCTCCCCAAAAAACAGCAGAAAGTTTGGACAGAAACGTTGGACTCAGTGACTTGGACAACTTTGGTGGTAAACGTCACGTCTGTGTTTTTTTTGATCGTTTTAATGCAAGACCTGATGAACCCCATTGTCAATTCATGTAAACTCGGCAAACCAAAAAATGTCCCAGATATTGCAATGGTTCCATTGTTGAAAATGGGTAAAACCATGGTTACCATATCCAACTGGGGCTTTAACACAATAACCCTAAATGGTTTGTGACAGGCCAACAAGAAAGCAATCGATCAACCCCATATCAAGCCAAACAACAGAACCAACAGCCAATCAATACTACATTGTTGGCCAATTGGGATTGATCAGGCCTAGTACGAAACCAATCATTTCGCTGGTCAGTTGTTGGGCCTGGGCCTACATGAAGGGATTGTGCCCAGGTGCCGCCTCCAATTCCCAATGGCACTTACGATTACGGCGCGCCGCGGGTGGTTTTGGTCTCAACATGAGGGTATCAACTTGTAACCAAATTCATCAAATTCGCAACATGACTGTACACATCAGCTACACGGAAATTAAACAAAGAAAACAGGGAACTCATGTTGATTTTTATAAGGGCCCCATGGCAGCCGTTGACCTGGACCGTGAGATCGGTGGCGTTTGTTCGGTTCAAGCTGACGTGCGATGAAGCTTCCCCAAAGACAGCGGGAAATAAGCACAGCAGCAGAGGTTTGAACATATGCCAAAACAGTTGAAAACATATTTGCAGATCATGTCAGTTTTAACATGTTTTTTTTTTTTAATCTCAAGACACTTCTAGAATCTTCTAGATATTTCATGACATTTCAACATGTTTCGAATGGGTTTTGAATGGGTATCCTAGCAGTATCCTAGCAGTCCAACATCTCCACCATTCCTTGGTGAAGGTCTGGGGATACTCAGCTTGAAGCCACGACACCATGCCATGGCGAAATGCTGGTGTGGCCTCCCAGGGACCGTTGCCTTTTTACAGAAGGATGCTGACAGTCCCAAAGGATGGCTGAGTATGTTTGATATTGTTTGATCATCAATTTTCAAATGCCAATTTGCGATCCAGAGTAGAGTATTGTGAAGCCAATCAATTGCCAGTTGTACATATAAGTGGGGTTCTATGCGCCTGAACTTTTAACCCTTGACCTGGGTGTTTGCTGCGCAGAGCTTCACCATTTCGCAGTGAAATACTGTCACGATCTTTTGTAGACGATTAGAATTGTACAAACACACAATCATGATATATGGGTAGATATCTGAAAAGGACTAACACTAGGGCACACTGAGATATTAAGAATACATAGCTCGGACGCTCTGTGTCAGTAGCGCACAGCGCAGTGCGATTATGAATATAACAATATATATATAATAATAACAATAATAACAATAACAATAATAATAATAATAACAATAACAATAATAATAATAACAATAATAATAATAACAATAACAATAATAATAATAATAATTAATATATATATACACATTATGAATTAATATGAATTACGAATTAAGAATGATATGAAATCGATGCAATCGATGACTGTAATGGACCGGAATTTCTATCCAAGTCCTCCAGTCCCCAGGCGACCCATGGGCGGCCTCGGCCTCGGCGGCCGGCTGTGCCTGGCCCTCGGCCTTTGGAGCTGTGCGATGCGAAGCTTCGTGCTGCCCAGGTGGACCAACTCGGATCGATTTCTATAGGTTTTTCTATAGGTTGCTATGGATTTTGCTATGGATTTCTGATGAAACATGATAAAACCACTTTTTGGAACGATCATCTTGGAAAGACCTGGTTTTTCAAAGTGAGCTCAGATTTTGTCGAATGGCGCATGAGTGTTCGATTTGGAAAAGAGACATATTGTGGATCGGTGAAACATGTGGGATAAGTGACATATATGTAGAATAGATGGCAATGGGCATAGTGATGCATTCACCAGCTCATCCTTCGGTTTGCGCAAGTCTAAGAGACCCACTGAAGAAGGGCAGGCAACCAGGCAACCCCTGATAAGAACAGGAATGCTCCTGTAACAACATCCCCTAGCAGGCTATTGCAGGTTTACTGTAGACACCCATCAACAAAAACCATGTACAAATGCTAGGAGATGTTCTTGGGGCCAGACTGGCTCCGATCACAACCTTTCAACCACCGTTGGGATGTGGGTGTAGGAAAAACCTTCGTGGAATGCCAGGATTCAGATCCCTCCGCGGAATCGGAATCTGTAGGTGAACCGATCTTCTCATTGAGGTGTCGCACTCCGTGGTTCAATCCTGACTTTTGCGACCAAAATAGAATTCGATTTTTCTGGATATCATGATATCATCCCCATTTGTGTTAGGGAAATTCGGATTGATGTATCCACTATGAACTGTTGATAGCTGCCAGGTGCAACGACCGGTTCCCAAAGACCAGGAGGCCCAGCATAGACCTTTTGGGTTGGATATCCCAAGTTGTGACATCTTGAGGAAAACGACAGCCACGATAAGCTGTGAGATGTGGTCCAAAATATTAAGACCCCAAATAGCCTTCTGGATCTGTTTTCGTCTTAGTTTGTTCTATCCAATTTCAATGGACCAAACCTCCATAAGACATAAAGTGAGATCAGGGTTTCTGTAGGCAAAATCAATGAGTTGTGCAGGCGAAATCTCTCTTTTTCCAGAAGCTCCTGATTCTTTCTTCTTGATTCCAAGTTTCTGCAGCTAAACTCCCCACATTTTACAAGGCAATCACAGTACATCCATCATTTGTCTTCCTAAACTGCTGATTATTGGCAGGTTAAACACGTTTAAACTATGTTAAACCACGGTTAAACTACCCATAATCATCATAATCTCCATATTCGGTGGCTCAAAAAAAACCACCCGTGAAAACGACCGTCAAATCGCCAGGCCGGTGGCGTTGCGCTCCCCGCGTCTGCGGGATGCCGACGGTGCTGCGGGATACCGGCGGTGGCAGTGCTTTGCGAAGATCTACTGCATCAACCTGGATGACAGGTGAGGTAACAACTGTTTAAAGCTCATGGCACGTCTCTGTTGTGGGGATTATATCTAATATATATATATATACATAATAAATGTATATAAATGTAGATATGAATGTGTGCGTGTGTCTCTTATCATTCAATCCTAAAACATCATATTATGTCAATTAATATGGCCAACTCATGGTAGAACCACTAAACGGGCTGGATATATATATATAGATACACATTTCTGAGCCAACCCAATCGACAAGTTAGCTGTATTTTTCCTAAGGTTAACGACACTATTGGATGGGGGTGCTTTAATGGATTGGAGATGATCAATGGGTCAGATACTTGGACCACTTAGCTCACATCAAGTATTGAGGCCGGAGCGCTGGCAATTTATGGAGCGCCAGTTCCAGGAATCTGAAAGCATCGGGAGTGGAAGAACTGGAAGAAATTCTTGTGATAGAACTGATACGTCGATTGATTTTATAGCGGTTAGTTTGTGAAATTGGTGTGGGGAGTACTGAGTTTTCAGAGGACCTAGGAAATATCTATTGAGTTGGAATTATCATAAGACTAGATGCCATCTCTGATGCGTGTTTTACTGGCTAGTGATTATCGAAGAGGAAACCACTTGAACTATCCCAGTCAACACATTTATCTGGGGATAAGTTTGTGATCAGTAGCAGGTGTTTGTCATGTTCTACTATATTTCGTTGCATTGGTACTGGCCTATCCAGTGCCTGATCGAAAAAAACCACTTGATCACTTGAGATAATCCCATAACTTGAATTCTATTGATATCTCTTGAGATGACTTGGGATATTTGGTGACCACATCTCATATATCATATATCATATATCAGATATCATGTGTCATGCATCATATATCATGTATCATGTGTCATGCATCATCTATCACATAGCAAACATATCACAAAACTTGGGAGAATCCCTCTATCCATCCTCTAACTCCAGTGTCATCCACTGCCTCAGGACCTGCAGATGCCGGTGCAACGCTGGAGCGCTGTAGATGGCAGACGGTTAGACTTCAAAGCCCTTGAAGATGCCTGGCACAGCTTTTTTTTGGGAAGATCTCCCATTTTCTCAGTGGAACACTGATTATTTTGATGGTTACCCTCTGGTGAACTAACATAGCAATGGAAAATGGCTATTTATAGTGAGTTTTCCCATTAATAGCATGGTGATTTTCCATTGCTATGTTAGTTCACCAGAGGGTAATTATACAAATTAACATAGTGGTTTCAATGATTCCTCTCACTTTGCTGGGAAAAGCCACAAGTTTCTTGGTGAAAAATGTGAATTTCTAGGAAATACCAAGGTATTTTGCAGATCACAATTTTTCGGATCCTCCCATGCGCGGCGGGTCTACGAGGACTTGGTCTATGGCGGCGAGCTGAGTGCCGAAGCGGTGCAGCGGCTGTTTCTGCCCAACCAGCAAAAGGTGTGGATGGCAGATGGTCATTACATTGGGTCAGCAATGCAACGGCGAGATAAAAATGATATAAATATGATATAAATATGATATGACTGATATATGGCTGATATATGGCTGATATATGGCTGATATTCAGATATATTCAGTAAGTCACTGGAGATGTTTTGTTGCGAAAGGGGAACATTGTGGATTTCACCAGGGGGATTGGTGTCACCTCAGTCATTCTTCGATCATCCCCCTGAGAAAACAGTCTCTATACGTCAAGCATCTCCAAATCGAAAGATGACTTGTTCCAAGATCGGAAGGTTGGATGGTTGGCAAAGAGGATTTTGCCGGCAAACATATGATGTAGCCGATCAACCCTGGTACAATCATGAAACAAATCATGCAATTCACAATTGTGATCATATATATATATATAATTATTTATATAGAGTATAATTATATTATTAGTGATTCACCATGATTTTCCCGGCAAACCATTTGATTTACCATAGTATGGGACTTGCAATGGCTTTAGCTGGTAGGTCTTTGGAATGGACCTCACACCTGGTGCCATTGGCTGTGCGTTGTCCCATATGCAGATGCTGGGCAGCGAGATGGTTCAACCTGTTGATCATGATGTGTTGGTCGCGGGGCCTCGCATTTCATGGGGTTTTTGTTAGTGTGTGTATATATATATATATTAGTGATCAGCAAATGGGCAAAATATCCAGGTGGTGCCCCTCCCCTTATTTTAACTGATCCAATTTCTATGGCTGATTTCCTTCTGCCTTGGACCTCCCAGGATTTGGCTGGATATCATGACGAGACACGGTCAAGGCAGGGCCTGGAGGTTTGTGGCCAGTGATGGGTGATATGGAAGTTACAACTTGAGGCAAGGGACGCTGCGGGACGCTCAGTCACACGACAATCATATGAATAGTTATCGTGGTGTAACCCTTCTTGTTGATTCTCCTAAATACACATAGAGAAAATCCAGCGGTTGATAGGCTTGATCTATTCAGGGATGCCCTTGCCTTTTTTGATATTGTAAGAGAGAATAAATACACCATGACCATGCACCCCTTAGAGACATCGTTGTCGCTGCAGGTGAATTTGAAGGTGATGAGCGAAGTCAGTTCTTGGTGGTTTGGGTGCCCAAAAAGTCAAGGCACTTAAAAGGAAGCATAGAATGGGCACGGAGGGGGCATGGAAAGGGTGTTGACCCAGCGGAAGATTTTCATTTTTTTTTTGGAAACGTGTCCCAACGTGCTACACGGTTGACATGACACCCAGCTCATGATAACTTCAGCCTAAATGCCTGGCCCAGTGCATTGGGCCCCAGGATGGTTTCACCACTGGGTTTAGCCAAGTAAATCTGGGGGATGACCAACAAACTACGGATGCTCCATGATCTATGATGACAACAGGTATAGATTTTCCGAGGTGGAGGACGACTGCGAGTTCGTCCCCTACTTTGATGAAGAGCAGGTACAACGGCGCTTGGATGAGGTCCCCCAGGACGTGGTTCCAGCGTCTCCATGCAACCCATGGGTTCCACGGTAGGTTTCAAGGCTGTAATAACTTTAATGTGCCAAACATAGCAGGATTAAGATCAAGATATGGTGAACTTAGATCAGTACGGTTTTCCCAGGCGAATTCGTTGCCGAACATCAATTGTGGGCCGTTGACTGTTTTGCCTTTTCCTTTAGGCCCAACATGTGTTGCATCAATCCCCAAAGCTTGGGGCTCCTGGATTTCGGCTGATTTCATCCTGCTGTTTTCGGCAAAGAGGAAATCCCAATTTGTGCTGGGTCAGTTCCCACTTTCTCGATTGTTCACGCTATGAAGAGCAAAAACCCTTGGCATGTGGGGCATCCTGTGCATATTAGAATTATTAGAAGTAAACATGCATCATTACTTCAGTAATCATTATACTATAATGATTATAGTAAACATATCCTGACTTTGTTTTTGATTCTCCACACTGGCCTCATTTTTCGGTTACGACACTCACGACACTGACGACTTGGCGCCAGGATTGGCAGCTGGTCTTTTTGGGGGGCGTGGATGCCATGGGTCTGCAGCCGCTGCTGCAAATCTCGCCAGGCGTCAGGCGTCCATGGGAATTGTCACCATCTTACAATGGCAGATAATTATTACGGTATAATTTGGATAATATAATGGATAATCTGCTAATATGTTTCTAATCCATGATTATATGATTGATTATGGGGAGTCAAAGATAATTACTACAGTATAATTGTGATCGTTGATGTTGATGGCAACTATTTGGGTGGATACTTATACTTGGATGAATTAGTGGAGTATTGTTGTCCACCATGGGTGAAATTTGAATTTGCGTGTTTTTGTAAGGGCACTGGCGCTGGCTCCTGTTTTTCAGGCGAGTGTACAACGGATCTCGTGAAACCACGGCCTATGTCATCAACGTTGAAGGCTCGAGTCTGAATTTCACCATGATAAGCACCTTGTATGCGTCATGGACAAATTGTGACTAGTGAGCCCAAGAATTATCACATGAAAAAGTATCCCTTTTATCATTTGTACAAAAATGTTAATCCCAAGATGAGATGAATTTTCATATCGAGGCGCCAGAGAGGCGCTGAAAGTGTGCTTCCCATTGTCTTGGCAGCTGGATACGATGTTGACGATGCAGCTGGGCATGATCCCAGCGGTACCGGAGGTGGTGCAAAACAACGGGACTGTTGTAAGGTTTTGGAGCTTGGTTGGTGGTGTTTTTTTTGAATCTCTTGAAACAACCAGAAATCAGTGGATTTTGGGCATGATATTCTTCCATGTTCCGAATGCCCCAGAAACGAGCTACATACTTGTCACACGTTGTCACACCCCGAAGGAGGTTTTGCATTCCCAGGAGATAAAAGAGTGCCCCTGGCGAAACATTATTCATCATAATATTGGCAAAAACATAGAAATGTTATTATTCATTATAATATTCCTGATCAGTAATGGTATTATATATTCATTATAATATTCATGATCACATCACATCATTTTTGGTCAAATAATACCATTAATCATGAGTGATGGACTATTCATTATAATATTCATTAAAATATACCATATATATTACTATAATGTTCATTATAATACCATTACTAATATAATGAGCACATGATTTTTGGTCATGGACTAAACGTCCCGGTGCCCAAATCCCCAAATCCCGACAGCTCACCTTGAGGCATTCGCAGCTGTGTGATCCGCCCTTGTGGGTCAGCGAAGACATGCAGCTGCTTGGTTGGTTGGTTCCCTGAAAGATAAGTTACTGATGCTTATTTTTGTTGTTTGCCTACCCTGCCTACCCACTGGTCGGAGTCTATCAATGTCTATCACTAATCGCTTGTAATCATCAAACATGATCACTCCTGTGTTCAGTAGGGGCGCTTCCTAGGCTCAACGATCCGAAAACTGGCCAAGAGCACGCCAGAGTGAAAGTGCACAAATCAATTCTCACTTTCTGGCCACAACCCACAAGCTACCACGTTTGCTGTCCGATTTATCGATTGGTTTTAGATCCTGATGATCTCATCCATGAGAGTTCCATCCTGGCCAAGGCTTTCCTACACGGTGAAACCAATGAGTTACATCCTGTGGCCGCCACTAGCGGTCCAGAACAAGAGGGACTTCCGTCACGCGGCTCTTGAATTTGCTGCAGATACAGACAGACGGGCACCACTTTGAGAAGCACCATCTTTATTTTATCAAAAACGCATCAATTTTCCTATATATATATCTATACACACATACACGTACATATATGTGTATCCAGGTATTACAGATACTTGATATCTCAATGAGATTTGTTTTTCCAGAGTCCTTGCCTCTCGCCTGAGGAACTGACGTCCAAAAGGACGAGCATCCGGAGTTCCTACACTCCAACAGCCGGAGGCTCAGGGCTGCTGCGAGCTGACCAGCTAAAAAAAACTATCCAACAACCATGCAAAACAGAAAATCTTATTTTTGAAGTAACAATCAACCATTTAATCCATTTACAATTTCAACCATTCAAGATTTACATGGTTAAATTACCATCAAATATCAACATCCTACAGCCATCCAAGAACTCCGAGGCTACGAGGTCGCGCCAGAGGTGCTGCGGCAGCCGCCACAACGCCAGGAATTGGTGGGAGAAGACCTGGAAGCGTTGGATAGGACGGCGACAAAATGGGTTGAGAAGGTACCATGGGGCAGAAGATGTTTGTGATGAACAACAGGAGTTCTACTGGATGAGCAAAGCGGGTGTTCACCAAAGGGGTACGCTTCATGTGTAAACACAGGAAAATGGAGATACAAGCAACAAGGACCAGTACAGAAACTGCAATGTTGGGGATATAGAATCAATAGCGGAAATCGAATAATCAACATGCATAGTCACCATAACTGCTGTTGACCTATGTGATGGGGACTGACTGACCCCAGCTGTCAGGAGATATGCTCTGGTGGGAAGTTGGGATGACTGGTTGACCTTTCATCCTTTCCATTTTTCCGACCCCGTACTAGCTGCAGAGGTTGGGATCAAATGGGATGGCTATGCTGCTTTAAGGGGCCAGTCAATGGGTCCCAGGTTGGTTATTGTAAGGAGTTATACTACCTGGTTTTTGCGGATCAGTATAACATAGTATAACTTATATAACCCATACTAGGGGAACCTATCAAGAACATATATAGTAAGCTTAATAAACCCAGTTAGCAAGTCCCCAATTCGTGGTGTTATCCTACAACTGGGTGAACAGTGGGATGATCCTGCAAGTATCCTCCAGACATGGCTGGATGGGAAATCTCCATTTTTGATGTTCAGTGACATTATCATTTGAGCAATGGACATGTGGATAAACAGAATTCTGTGAATATGTGTATCTATTTATAGTCGATTTGTAGATGGTATCCTCCAGCAATAAAATCTAGCAACTGGCAATGACAGACAAATATGCGGTAGATCACATATTACTGGATGTTGTTTTGATTGCCAGGCCAGAAACCATACGTAATTAGTATGTAACTTTAATATCGCCAACAACATGGGAAGCAAGCAGTTGGGTCGCAAGGGAGGAACAACGAAACATACTTATTGGCACTGGGAAATATCGGTCTTCAAGATTTAATGGGAGAACCTTTTTGTTGAATGAATTTGCATGATTGATTTTTGAAAGCTACACATCTCCCAATTGTCCCTTAGCTGCACTTGACAGTATGACCAATTGCAGGTATTTGGACAGTACTTTGCAGTACTTGCAGTTGAGACATCTCATGGTACGGAAATATCAACTTTTCAGGAAGTCCCACATGTCCAGTCCATCTATAGTTCGAGCACATCCAAAAACCGTGCAGTTAACTATCAAAAACTAGTCAGCGATAGTTGTGTGTTTTGTTTTATCTGCCAGTTTCGGGACACGAAAACTGTTTGTTGCAAAGCCAGAGGATCAAATTGACCAGATCAAAGCACTTGGAGGGGCTTGAATCAGCATCCCCGACTGTACTGTTGTAGAGCCAACAATCCATACCCGCCATACCCAATTTTAGCAGAAATGGATGGTGTAAACCGTGAAAACCATGCCAAATTGGAGGTTTACTTTTGGGCCTACCACTGCCACATTATTCCATGAAATCCCCGATCAAATGGAATTCCCTAATTGGAGCCATTGGAGCCTAGTTCCGATACATTCTGCCAGGGTTTAGAGTATTTGATATTGGGAGGATTCAAACCCACCAAGCTTACGAACCAGGTGTTGATTCCTCTGAACATCCAAGTCATTGGTAAACGGCACATAGTACGTATGATGTACATGATTTGACCATATGGCCATGGTTATATATATATACATAATATGTCCATAATATATACATAATATATATATATATAGATAGATAGATAGATAGATAGACAGATAGATAGATAGATAGATAGATAGATAGATGGATAGATGGATAGATGGATAGATAGATAGATATACCTGTCTTCTGAAAAGGGTCATTTTTTTGGGGGTCAGTTGGTGAGTTTTAATTGACGCCAGGTGGATGTGCCGCCCGGCGCGCCTGTGGAGTTTCAAGTGCTGCGGGACAACGATTGGAACCAACGAAGCTCCGTGGGGGTTTGGAACGGGATTGCTGAAGCTGGGGAAAAAACAATGGCATGTTCCTTTTGGATAATGGAACATAACAACTGACTATATGATCAGCGATAAGTATATCCCAAGAACCCCCCAAAGATTTTCGGATTTTCCAATCCTGGGTCCAATGATTTCCAGAAATCCCATGCCATTTTGGCCAATGCCAATGGCTATCTTTCTCCATGTTTGCTGAGGATTTTTCCCAGAGGCCGATGGCAGCATTCGCTTAGGTGGCAGCCATGTCACTTGGCGGTCAAGATTGTCGGATATCACTGGATTCCTTTTCAACTGACTTTGGGAATGTTCCGGGGCACAACCCGAATATTTGGGATGAAAACACATGAACGTACATTAACAACATTTATCAACCAATGTTGTTGTTCATCCACCGGCAGCTCAGCAAGGATGCGCATGGCAAGAACTGGCAGCAGCAGGTGCCATTGGGTCCACCCAAGAAACCTGGCAGCGTGGGAAGATGTTGCGATCAAAAAGGCTCAAAAGTGAAGGTCTGTTTTGAACAGTCGAGGATTATTGTTGTTGAAATGGTTATTCAACTATTTGACCCATATATATACATATATATTATTATAGATTATATATTATCATATATATATATATATTATATATATATTATATCATATATCATATATCCACATGCAGTCGTAAAATGCAGATATTGATTTGCACTGTCTGCAATGGTTGATCTTCTGCAGTACTTCCCATGCGCCCAGGAAACTCCATGTTGCCTGGGACCCAACGGGCGGAGGCGCAGCTTTAGTCGAATAGATGCTGTGATGTTATCTCATTGTTGTTCTGGCCTATACCCAGGGTGTCTTTGACCATCCCAACCGTTCTTGTTGCTTTGCTCATCATGTTCTGTCCAGCTAGTTGTGTTGCTTACTTTATGTTTAGGAGATGTTGTGAAACAGCCTCGATTTTCGCTGTAAATCCTGATTGTCTGAATCATTATTTTTGTTGCATGCCCCACATGTTTGTCTGTTACTTGCTCTTTTTTGGCAGGTTAACATGTTCTGCTGCAGTGCGCGTCTTTAGCGGATACCATCTATGTTTTTGGTGGATGATGAAACCGTAATTGAATTTTTGCAGCTCAAATGGAGGTGGCCGGAGTAGATTATTTCTCCCTCTATTCATCAATATTTCAGCCGATCACACCAAGCATCCACAGATCATATTCTAACTACGATCATATTTCGACTACAATCTTCATGAAATCCCAGCAAGACTTCACCAAATTGATGACATCTAAAACATGAATCATCCTGCTGCGATGCGAGGCCGCCTGGAGCATTGCCTGGAAGAGCCCAGTAGCGTGGCCTTGGCGCGGCGCTATGCCTTGGCTGGGAGCTGGGATGGGTGTCTTGGAGCGTCGGTGGAGTTTTTGTCGATTTTTCTCGTTTTTTTTCCCCGAAAGAAAAATGGCATTTGAAATTTTCTTGTAAATATATTTTTATTTTCTTTAAAAAAAAACAAATTGGGAGGATGGGGTATGGAATCAGCACACACGGGGGCATAGCTTGATATAGCTGATCCAACTAGCATCACATATCAAAGATATCGGAAGATGCCATCACTTACAATCATATGATATCATATGTGTATTGCCCTCGTGGAGAGTTTAGCCAACTACAGAAATATGGAGCTTTATTTGGTAGAAAGTGGTCGGGATATCACCAACGATCACATGGTTTAAGCCAACAACCTGGGTATATTTCACCCCCTCATATGGGCATGGCTCAAAATTTGAGACCCATTGGAAACCACAGATGCATCGGTCATGGTAAGTACAAAGGGCCATTTTTGGACCCAATGACTGGTCTCATAATCCATATGGAGCATGTGGAGCATATGGAGGATGTAAAGCAGCGATATCCACAGATCCATCAGCAGCTCAGCAGCATCACTGCAGGTGGACGTCCCACACAGCCTTCGTGCACTCGGAGGAACAGTTGGGTCACTGGGACAAAACATTGGACGTCCCACCCCGTGGCTGACGGTTGGTGTATTGGAGAATTTCGGGGTGCCAAGAAAGTATCTGGTATCATTTGAATTTTGGGAGGTCAACTAACCGCGCCCAAGAATTCCTGGTGTTGAATGTTTTGAAGGGTTCAAGCGAAGAGTTGGGTTTAATAGTTGGACGGAGTCGTGAAAATTGGCCAAACATTTCCCCAACAAAAAAAGGTATTTTAGTCAGCAAAAACGAACAGCAGGATATCAAGTTGACAAGTCGACGGGTCGGTAGCGGTAACCAACTGGATGCTGGTGATATCATATGAAATGTATATATATATATATATGTATTGTATATATATATATATATTATGTATTGTATATATATATATATGTATATATATATGTATATGATATAATGGTGGTTTTCCAGCTGTAGAAGTCAGGTACCTACGTGGCAGCAGTGGAAGTTCCAAGCAGCTTGGAGATCCAGTGCCTTGACCTGTATGGTTCACATCAGATCGAGATGACTTGCGACCAGCTATGGTTGTGATGGTTACCATGTTCTGCAGGATTTACAGGCATCGTTGTTGAGGATTGTATAGCGGATTTGTTCCTGCTATCTACCCACTTGTTTTTAAAGATTGTTGGAGGCGCAAATTTGGGATCCACAAATCCCACTACATTTTTCTGGGTATCTGCAAAGTCCTGCATGATTGAGACTAAATGAGTGAACGATGTGAACGGCCTTCCCCTTTTTGGGTTCCCTTTCTTATTTTGCATAATTCAGAAATCTTTCCCGAAATTGAAGGTCAGCCGTAATCCCTTCATATCCCTTGGTCCCTTCGACTCGGCAGGTTCCAGGTGGTCTGTCTGGGTGGCGAGTTCGATGAACGGATCTTTCCCTCGGAGACGGGGGAGATCTTGGGACCCAGCGGAGATTCCTTTGGCGCCTTGGTGAAAACGGGTGACAACGGGTGAAAACGGCTACAGGGGTTCACTGGACATTTCTGTCGTGTCACTGGTGATGTCACAAGGTCGCAATTGGCGCTTACCAGCGCCCACGCAGCCGCAGATGCTTTGGGTGTTTTGACTGCAGCTTAAGGAGCTTGAGGCGATCTCACCAAGAGTTGGGATAGAACCTAGAAATGGATATATCACGCATTCAAGTTGGAGGAGACTCATGACTCATGACCTTATGACAAGAAGAACCAAGAACATTAATATTCCTAGTCACTACTCTGGGAAAGGTCGGCCACAGATGATATCCTTGTTCGCCTGTCGAGGTGTACTGGAGCCCTGTTGGCAAACGGCGACTCTCCGTCTTTCTGGATCATGTTGGCGCCACTTGACCCTTTGAAATTAGAGAATGTCAGTTGGAATCAGTTGAAAAAAACTTGGGTGAAACCACATTCTACGAGATTGGTAGATTCTGGTGGATGATGCACTTGAACATTTGCCAAGCTTGGGGCTTGATACGGAAATCCATCAAGAAATTTGGTGATGGGGAACCCAACGTTTGAGAAACATTGAACTGATATGAAGCTCCATGGTACAATAAACCAGTTGAAGGGCATGAAACTTGCCATTTGGACCTCCCAGAAATGCTATCATTGAAAAGTACGTCCAAAAGTGCAAGTTTGGTTTTTCCACAGTTTTCCAGGCCGAACCTCATCTCCCGGTGCAAAGCAAAGGGAGCGCCAGACGGAAGCGGAACAAAAGATTCGATCCTGGATTTTTTACATGTTAAGTAAGGCTGAGTAAGTAGTTACTACTGTAAGTAGTAAGCACTGTAAGCACCAAAATGTTGGGGTCTAGTGGTTGGGAACTATGAATCCGGGAACAGCTAACGACAGGAAATGAGGATATTGCCTGGATTTATATGATTAGTAGAAACGAAACTCTTGAGATGGTCATTCAAATGCGATATGTTTTTCTTCTTTTGACTGGATTAAGAGTGGATGATCGTGGGTCAGGGTTAATTTCTTGCGTAGACCAGGCTTCAAATCCCAGTAGAATGTACTAAATCATACTGAATCATACTGAATCATTGTTTCTTGGGAACAGTTAAGGGTTGTGCGTATTGCAGCTGGTGGTGGTGGTGATCGCGGTGCAGGATAGGACGCACCACATTCCGATTTCTCATTCTGAGGGGTTCCAGCGCCGGGCATCGGCAGGGGCTGGGTACTACGATCCTCTCACCGAGCAGATCATGTCCTACGATGGCAAAGAGGCTGCAGCTGAGCTGTTGCCAAATGGGTCGCAAGAGGTTTCCCCAACTTTCTGCTTTTTGACGATTTTGGAGTCGACATCAATTGGCCAGATTTTTCAAGAAATAGATGGACTGTTTTTGGATCAGGTTCTCGGCTACGTCAACGAGGCCAGATGGGAGTGTAGCAGGAAGAAGGATCCATTGCATGGTATTGCACATGGAAAAAAAATGATCCTTCTGATTCCACAAAGGTTGCTTTACCTGAGTGATTTGGAAGGTTGATGGACTTATCCAGTGGATAGTTGGAAATGCAATAAACACCCGAAAACATATTTTTCTCAACCGTGAGATTTTGGTTTTCCCCAACACTTTTCAGGCAAGATCGTGCGTATTTAACACTGTTGGATCAATGTGCATTTGAGCGCACTTTCTTGTGGTTTGATATACTCAACATGTCTTAATCCAGCCCTTGTTCACCCCCGTTTGCTCCGAATCTGAAAAGAAAAACTGCTGATACCGACCACCTTCCAGACAGGTGGAAGAAGCCTGGATCAAGGACGACACGGTTATGTGATGTTAGCTGAAAAGGGGGTTGCCACTGAAAAAAATGTGAACATAGCTTTGCAACGCAACACCAGGTGGGTTTCAGGTTTCCAGCGGTGCGGTTCTGTTCCGGTCTTTAAACGTCACTGCTGTTGGGAATGGATTGTTCACCCAGCTGAAAGGACCAACCAACTGGGTGAACTTGACTTGCAAAAATCGCCAGAGTATCATCAAACATCAGGGAACTATGTCGATGACAAGACATTGGGATCATGCTTGAAATTGGTTCTTTGCACCTCTTCATTCGCGATTGCTATACTCTTACGGCATATTTGCCCATGTCTTTCGATTGTTTGGTTGGTGGACTCTCCCCATCTCTGGTGCTGAAGCCATGCAGGACCATTGCCGAAAAGGTTTCGAGGAACTCCGGGGCGAGGCTCAAGGTGCACCATCATGAAACATGGAAAACGATTGGGACTTGGGCAAGAATTAAGCATCAAAGATTGGTGGCTTTGAACTCTAACAGCAACACATAGGTAAATATTGGTGAATGGTTGCTTCGTAGATTGATTTGAGGAATAAATGGAGGAACACGATGAAGAAAATGCAGCAACGTGGCATCACGGTCTTTGGGACATTATCAGACAATAACACCAGCGAGATTTGATCTATTTTGATCTAATACTCATGTAATGATACCATGATACCAGGGACATGATTTTCATTGTCTTCCAAGCTCTGGGATCAACCAATGATGTGTGTAACAGAGAACCAGCAACATCAGCAACACACACAGAGAGACCCTAGAAACATGGGAATAGAACCAGCAGACATGGGTATATAATATATATTAATATATAAACAAGATATAGATGTCATTTCAAGCATCTGTACTTGGAAGTATCAATGGTTGTGATCAGCTTCTAAGCAATAAATCAACTTGGATCGATGAAATTTACTCTTATATCACCGACGAACATGGTGATGCAATCATCAACATGTGGTGTTTTCACCGCGCACGGGGTGTTTTATCAGCAAACATCGATATTCAACTTGTTCAATCCACTAATGTAGCGGGATTCACCAACAAGCCTACCACCTATAGCTGGCATGTTTTGGTAGAGGGTATGAACATGATCCCAGTTGCATCTGGTAGGAAGAGGCCCCTCACTGTACGAGCCAACTCCAGTGGTTTGTCATGGGACATCCCGAATGTTGGGACAAAACTACAGATCATAATCTCCGGGTTGCATATCCAATATAGAATATATATATATATACATTGAATATATACCATTATCCAATATCTTGGATATCCAATATATGACATATAGAATATATATATATATATGTATATATATATGATCTTCCCATCGAATCCAAGGTTCGCCCCAAGAGGCCGAGGCAGCTGATGGTTGTGGGAGTTGAACCAACAGCGGTGGGATTTCCAACGGGTTTTGAATTCGTTGATTTTTTTTTGAATTCGTTGAGAGGAGCCAGAATTCCTGGGTGTACTACAGTAGTTTCCGGCAACATTTCCGTAAATCCACCGAGATTGCTGACAAAGCAGGGCTGGAGATCAGTGCCTCGTTTCAGGCAGTGGAAGAGCGAGAAGGCGGTCAGTAGATTTCCCATCGACAGCAATTTTGACCAACAGAATTGGTCAAGAATGAAGATATCTGGGAAGATCATGGTTATTTATTCATATTTATTCACTTGACAACAGTTGACTACAGTTGCAACTGCAGCATCCAATTCCTAGGTGCACAACTTCAGCTGTTTCGCAGTGGCCCCAAGTCTCGTGCCCATTTCTCACCCGGTTCCCGTGCGTTCTCGGCGAAGCCGATTGGAAGGTGCGGATCCAGCGCGAGCAAAAAAAGTTGGGGTGAGCCCTGGGTTTTTGGGTGTAACAACAGATAGTCTATTGGCTACATCTGTAGGGTGTGAGTATTTCTTTCAAAGTACCTTTGGTTGACCCATATTTATTTGGAATGTGTTTGAATATTGTCGTTTTGCAACGTTTGCAACCATGGGATCTGTTGTTTGACCTCCATGAGTCATTCTTCTTGTTATACCTGGCAAGATTTTCCGCATGGCGGCATACTACTCCCCTACAGTTGGGTGGGCCACAACATGCCATAGGCCGTCATGGGCAGGTTTCCCACCATTAAACTCGGGGAATCAATGGGCAGGTTTTACCATCATAAATATGCCACAAGGTAGCCCTCCAAGTGACCCATAGGATAGGATGCACCAGAAAGGGTCCAACTTGGTTTCATTGAAATGATGAAATTTAGGTGGAAAATCCCAATAAAGTCAGGCAATTTCCACCTTTCATGCCAATTTAGGCCATCAGCAAACTGAACTTCAAAAAGATGAATTTGGTGTTTTTTTTTTGACATTTCCATCAGATCCATCACTTTTTCCAGCATTTCCAGCACTTATTTCAGCTACTGTTGAATCATTCAGCTACCATTCCCTCCATGTGGCCATTGGCTCAGCGTTGGCCCAACTTCGCCTGCTCTGGTGGTGACCTTCGCCCTTCGCCATGTTTTTGGACACCGAGATGACGCACCAAGCGCTGTGCCAGGATTTACTGCAACCAATATCTGACCAATATGCAATGATGATGCAAGAATGATGATCATATGAATTTTCAGGATATATTTCAGGATTGTATGATACTTGCATGATACTTGTATGATACTTGCATGATACTTGTATGATACTTGTATGATACTTGTATGATACTTGTATGATTGTATCCGCAAAGCATGCCATGTTTTTTCTCGGAGACTTTGGACCAGGAGCTAGACCTGGAGCAGAGCCGGGAGGCCCCATGAGGGGCGGAAAATGGTGTTCCTTTTTGTTAGAACAGGTAGAACACCTTGCTATGTTGCAGGATGAACTAAGGGCTCACTTCTGGTGGCTAAGGTATATCTGATACCAATATTGCTGTTTGTATCACCATTCTTGATAGTCTTTTCATGCTTATCGGCTTATTGGTTTCTCTCCAACTTTCGTGAACTTCCACCATTTCGTGGCTATTCTCTCCTGTTGCGACAGGTGAGCACTTCACGTACAGAGCGCTTTTCCTGGCGCTTGAAGGCCAGCATGGAGTCCATCGGGACCAGAAGTCAGTGTTCAATGAGAATGAACCAAATCTATCCACATCTATCAAGCCCAGGGGAGGAAACCAACAATACCGGGTCGATTTCGATTTAATCAACCAATCTGGAGAATGATCAAATCGACATAAATTGTCAATATCTTTATGTCTTGCACTACTCTGTATCCAATGAGTACATCATTTCTTGATTGGCCAATGACCCACCGGTGCAATAAATCCAATCATCAACGATCAGATCCACCAGGCGCCAGCTGGTTGGTTTGAGCCAGGCCGTGGAATTTCTCTTAGAGCCAGGTTTAATCCGTCAATATACATGGGCCATCTGGATCCATCTGGGCTCAAAGATCTTAGAAGTGGTGAAGTGGATTCACATCACCATTGAGATCATTGAGCTATCCAGCTCTTTATATCTCCATTTTCGCTTGGTTCACCAGCAATTTTGTCACTCCCGCAGCTGTGCCAGATTGCGTCCCTCCTGGCTGTGACGGCAGTGCTGGGACTTTTGTTCTTCCTGCCGGAGGCTGGGACTGATGCCATACGAACCAATGGTCCGGCAAAATAGGGGAGATATGATGGAGATATGATGGATTTGGTTTGGGGTATACAACTTGGGGTACCGGAGTTTCGGACATAGCCATGTGGCTGGAAAAATCACACAGGCTGTTCTTGTGAGTGGATTTGTGTTTCAAGCTCCTACCATTCCTGGCAGATTTTGGCAATGCCTGGTAGCCATGGCTATCAATTGGCCCAAGTGGCAGGTCACTGCGGCCAAAAGCACATCTCTGGATCTGATCTCTGAGAGAGTCTTGACTGAGAAGAGAAAACAGCTGGGTATGGGCACACCAGCAAACCTCCGAAAAAACCTTCGAAATGGGAAGGTGAACAAGCCTCGAAGCGTGTTTTCTATGTTTTTTTTTGGGATGTGAACTTACGGGGTACCAGTTTGAACCCGTAACCACGGGGTGATGTGAGAATCTTGGGATATACTGTACTCAGCTGATACAGTTCCTGGGTGTATCAGCAGTGAGAATCTTGAAGGCACATGTCTGACTGACAAAGATGGGAACATCCCTGACAAACATGTAAGGAACACCGGACCAAAATGGGAACCTGTGCAATCAACAAGGGTAAATAAGCAAGTGAAACCAGATTCACTAACCAACCCAACATTCACATGGAAGCTGCAGAAGATAGACTGGTTTCCAAAATTCAACGCTATCGCTGTACATGTCCCCATCCAATGTGCCATGTCAGAGACCGCTGGAAGCATGACCAACAAATCGTGCAGCATCCCCTTAGGATAGGAACCCACCAGGACCCATATCATCCAGTAACTCTGGTGTCACGACGAAATTTCTCCAAGAAATCATGTTTGAATCCCCCATCTCAAGAAAAATCACCATGTCTTGTTGTTTTTAAGTTGGGGATCCCCATTTACAGCAATATACAAACATATAAAAACAACCACTTCATGATTTTCATGTTTAGATCCCCATGTTTTGGCAAACGGACGGCCGTAAGTTTTCCGTGAGGTCAAAGCAGTGGTGGCCTGGAAATCCAAGGCCGGGGATTTCACCAATGGTGAAGTAAGATATCATGGTGGAGTTTAAATGCAACAAATGGAGTTTTTATGGTGAAAACCATGGGATTTCAAGGAGGATAATCAAGAAAGGAAGACATTGAAGGCTTAAATCACCCGTGAGGACATGGCGATCCAAGCCGAATGATACCCTGGTCTTTCTGGTTCGAAAATTGAAGCTGGCAACGGACAATCCCCAACTAGGAAATCATAAATATCATCTACAAATGGAAGTACCTGAGTTGTCCCTTGCCATCTCAGTTAGAGGATTATCACAACTTCTGATTAAGCAAAACATATCTATAAATATTCAACCATCCACAAGTTGGGATCGAACTAGCACAAACAGGGTTTAAGCCTACCAGCATGACAATTTGTGGTGGAAATAGCCGGTTGCCAACGTTCGGCGAAAACAAGTTTCCAGTTGGAGATCTCACTAGGGTTGGGAATCAAATCACCATTTCGGGCAGATAATGCACCAACTACTAAGCACTACATATCCCAATGATATCCCCACTTTGAATACCAATTGTTTGGGATGAATACACTGATATTGACTATTTGGGATGACCTTATATTCCACTTGATGGTTGATCAACACCTGTCACATAATTACATATATATATATAATATGTGTGTGTGTGTGCCACTAGCCAGTGGGATGAATAGCCCAGTTTGCTGGTAATCCCCCGGTAAACCCCACAGAATTAACCCCATATATCTCTATGATATCCCCATGAAATCGCAGTTTTGGAAGCCCATCCCACAGTCCCAACAGGCATTGACCCCAAGGAGAGCCAGGCGACCATGAAATCCATGCAGAAGGCGGGGATCCAACACAATGGCGAAAATAGAAAGTTGAGTAGTTTCAATGGCTACTTCACTGGTCAAAAACTGGGGGTTTTGACATGAAAAAGGGAATGTCAACCGACAGCATTCAACATGAGACAGTCATTTGACATTGCAAACATGATGATCTCTTGCGGTAAGAACGTTGAATTCTTGAATCCCCATGTTTGCCGATAATTACTCCATGACCTTCTCATGATTAACCCACTGTTGACCCATTATTACCCGGCTTAAGTGCCAAATTTTGGCGGGTGAATGCAACATTTTGGTGGGTAAATTCCCTTTTTGGATGGATACACTCCATTTTTGGTGGCGAAATCTAGGTTTTTCGTGGGTGAATCACCATTTTTGGTGGGAAAACCAGGTAAACCATCACCAAAATTCCAGCCCAAAAACCAAAATCCCCTGCTCCACCAGGGATTCCACGCTCTGGGCGATGTCTTCGGCTCGGCCTTTGGCTCGGGACAGAACCGATGATGGGGACCAATTGAGAAATAATGATTTTTCAACGGGAGGGTGATTGTCCTGATTGTTGTTTTTTTTTTTGTCTAAGTCTATTCGGTTTGGTGATTTTTTGTTTGATTTTATGCCTGCCGGCTTTTGCTTTTGCTTCTTTTCCTCCTAGGGTATACTGTTTTGCGTTTCTTCTTATTCTTTTCTTCTTCGCTTTTCCGCTTCTCTGGTTCTCTGCTTCTCTGCGTTTTTGCGTTTCTCTCTTTTTGCTTCTCTGTTTTTCTGCTTTTCCGCTGTTCAGGAACAGATTGTAAAGCCATGAAACAAATCTTAAAATCAATGAATCAATCGGACCGAAACCAACCCCAAGGATAAATAAACCTTAAACCAACCCTAAAGAGAGCCTAAACCAACCCATAAGAAACACTAAACCAAGTCTAAGCAAAAGTAATTAAACTGAAAACCAACCATCAAAAAAAACTAAGCCAGCCCTAAACCAACCGCACATAAACCCTAAACCAGCCTGAAGTCAACACTAAACAAACCCTAAACTTACCCAAAACCAACCGTAAATAAGACCTAAACCAACACCAAATGAACCGTAAACCAACCCTAAATAGACCCTGAACCGACGTTTAATAACCCCAAAACCAAACCCAAGCCAACCTTAAATAACCTTCTAAACCAAACCTAGATAAACCCTAAACCAAGCATAAACCTTCAAAAGACCTGAAAAACCAACCCAAAACCTTAAACCTTAAACCAAGCATTAAACCTTAAACAAACCCTAGATTTAGATACACCCAAGTCAACCACAAGCAGCAGCATAAAACTGTCGAAAAAATGACCCTTTTACTCGATGTTTCGTACAGAATCCTAGCCCCAAGAAAATGAAATAGACAAGATTTCCCGAAATAATTTGGCACCCTTTTTCAACAAATATGAGAAGATACCTTCCTGCAATCAACCTGGAAATGGAGAAAAACGCATGTTTGACAGATAGAAATCAGCAATCATCTATAACTGCCCTTGCCATGTGTGAAGACCTGAGGGTAGCAAATCGAACATAGGACCAAGAATCATTTCTTTAACTGTAACGCTTGACTTTTGGGGAATGCACTGAGATGATTTGTCCTATGGAGAAGATGGCTGGACTTTCAGATCCAACCCGGACGCTTTTTTCCGATGTTCACCAAGCTTCACCAAGCCCCCACTGGCAGGAAATTCCAAGGAAAAGCTGAGCAAGGGAGAATCTTCTCTGGAGGTGTGGAGGTTGAATGATTTACCACACTGGATGGTAATTTACCAAACCTGCCATGAGATCTTCAGATCTTGATGAGTGATATGATCCAATATATTTCCCTATGTCCATCGTTCAATCATGTCCACATATATTTTATGGTTTACCCATGCTTAGCTCAGATCTTGTATATCTTATTATACATGGGGTATTCACTAATTTCACTGATTTTCTGCTCGAATCATCACTCTTGTTGGCATTTCAGTCGACCAATATCAACCTTGATTCGGTCCTGATTCACCAACTTTCGTGGCCCACAATCAGCCCAAAGAAAGTCAACACTGGTTGGTGGTTTTATCCTATATATATAATATATACAACTAGGTGATCCCCATTGTTTCAGGGTTGAAACCAGCCAGAAGCCATGACTTTTGTGAGGAGGCGAAAGGAGCCATGAAGAAAGCGGAGACCGCCATGATGAACGTCATGCAGGTTGATGGTTGATGACTATGCCATGTCATGAAGCCATATGAAATCGTATGAAACCACAAATCATGGGGTTCAAACCGTAGTTGATGTAGGGATAAACTGTCATTTCTAGCGGAACCTATTAAGATGGAGGATTCAATTACGGCTTCGGCCATGAAAGCAGCAAATCCATTGAACTAGAAGGATCCTGATTGAGCTTCCCCATCTGTACCCTACCAATAGCTATCAATCCTATCCCATCTTTTTATAGGTTCTGGATGGTTCTGTTCCATATTCAGTAGGTCATTTGATTTGTGGATATATCCTCAGTTTGGTCGAGAATTTTTACGCTTCGGAAAATCGAAAAATCGGTCAATCCTGACATCTTTACTCCCCACCCAGCTGGCTTGGCTACAAATGAGACATCTCAGACCAAGTCAGAGTCCCTTCCATAGTCAATTGAAATCCAAAGAATCCGCTTTTAGCTTCATTCTTGAAATTGTAGGGGCACCATGTTGCATCTAGAAATCCTCTGACCAAAGATACTATAGATAGTGTACAACCCCTTCTTAACGGAATCACTGGATGTCGCGCGCTGTGATGCTTCAGTTCTATCCCAATGACTTTTCGGTCCATGAGTTTCCCGGTCGCAGGAACTCCAATCGAAGAGTGGGCACGCTCAGTTACCCACAGCATGGTTCAACCCATGTGTTTTAAGAGCTGGGTCTGTCAGGAACGGTGTGCAGGATAAGGGGAAGATACATAGAACTCATAGAACTCATACAACAATCATTTCATATGCGACAGATTTGGCAGGAACCTGGTCGTTCCTAACCAACACCTTGGTTCAAGGGACACAAATCGCTGGAGAAAAACTTTGGATCAAGCTGAGAGTGGTGCTTCAGGCCTCAGGTGTCGTGCCCGTCGTGCCCGTCGTGCCCATAGGAATGTGTCCTTCATGTTTGATACAGGTTTTTGCGTAGGACTGCATATGGAATATATGGATGCCTTAAACAATACAACCACTATCTGCGGGATTTCCATATGCCCTATATGCCCTAGCATTTCTTTGCAGCCTGCAATGGTTCGAGATGACTAGGAAATCTCTCTACGATATCTTGCGGCTGCAGCGCAACGCCAGCCTGGATGAAATCAAGTCAGGCTTCAAGAGGCGTGCCCTGCAAGTGCATCCAGACAAAGGAGGAAACAAGGACAGTCTTGAAAAATGATAAAATGACGGAGGTTTCATTCGCAACTAACAACCATGAAACATGAGGGGTAGAACCAAAAATATGGGGTCTGCAACCAACATGGGACCGATAATCAAGAAGCGTGGGTATTTTGGGTAAGAGAAAGCGTGACAGCACAGTGTAATCAAAAGGCTGTAAGATTTGAACACGTCAAAGTGGAGACCTGATTTTGGAGGTGCCCAATTTTTTCAATTTTACAGAGGTTTTTTTTTTTCTGCGGAGGCTGGATTTCAGTGAGATAGATGTGCAACATTGGACGGCTGAGAGGTCATAAACCCAGAGAACACTGCACGACTGCAGTCCATAGGTCTCTTTTTTGGCTGTTTGACTGGCTGATTCCAGGAATCCTTTCATTTGGTCTATCAAGCATTTGAGACCTTGTCGAACCCAGAGAGTCGCAAGAAATACGACCATCAGCTGGCTGCAAGCGCAAAGTCCAAAATGTCCAAAGCAAGCGCCAAAACACAGACGGTTGCGCCGACAAGGCCCGATGCTCCATCCACAGCACCAAGCGGGTCAGTGGATGAGAACTTTGCAAATGTCGTGGAGACAAAATTTTTGAGAAAACTCCATGAGCTTTTGAAGCGCTTACCTCGAGATCTACGGCAAGAAGTTTTTGAACACGACTTCTCCCAGAAGCAACGCCTGCTTTTGGAGAAGTGGATGGTAGGTGCTCCAGCTGATTCGGTGCCCATGTTGACGCAGGGCTCCAACAGAAAGCAGCACAATGAGGCTGGCTCATGGTTTCAACATGTTTCAACAATGATTAGATTAGATGAGTTTAAAATAGTTTAAATTTAGATATGTTTAATTCTTTTTTTGAGCTGTTTTCCTTTCATTTTCGGATGATGACCTCCTATTTTTCTGCTGGCTACCAACCAGGAAGATTTGGAACAGTGCCGTTTGCCCTGTTCCGAGGGGAAAGACTCCAAGAAACCCAAACGCTTCAAACGGACGGCCGGAGGTCTGAACAAATACTTCGGATCAAGCCAGAGATATTTCGCCAAGATCACTTTCGATCAGGTCATGTTGCATACTGGAGAAGCTGACTTGCCGACAACACTGGAGTTCTTGGTCATTCTTACATCCATCAAACATAAGATGCATTTTTGCACCCGCCGGACTTTCGAAGAACGTTTGCAAGATGCAGTGGCGTCGTCAGCGCAAGAGCACGGACGCAATAGTGAAGAACTTGGTCTTCGCTTTGCAGTGTTTTTGCAATCCAGTTTCTTCCTCGGTTTGCCTGTCCTGAAATCTCCGACAGTTCGGAGTTTAGATGATTTGAAGAAGCTTCGCAGCTGCATTGCGCCCTTTCGAGACGGTATCCGAACGTGGGGAGGCGGACGATCGAGTCTTATTTGGCACTATGGCCTTGTGGAATTGGAAGAGCGGTGGCAACTGCTGCAGGACGCAGTAAAGAATATGTGGGAAGGTGTTGGTATGGATAGCACCAGGCCTCTAGAAAAACTTCGTGGCTGGTATGACTCCAACTCCGCGAAGCGCAACAAGCATTTGGAGTTTTGGGAACTGCAACATATGGCTGTGAATGACAAGAATGAACATCGGCCGCAAAGATTGCGTGCGAAAAAAGAGTATAAGAAACGTCGAAGTGCCGATAAAATGGCTAGTGACAGGGTGATTGCTGTCCGCAGGTTGCTTCAAAGATGGAAAAAGCTGTTACAAAAGAAGGCACAGCGACTAGAGTCGCAGAGATTGAAGCTGCTGCGACAGCGGAAGAAACAGCGACGGGAGCAAAAGAGGCAGGCGAAGCTGGCAAAACGGAAAGCGAAAACTCAGAGGCACAAAGCGCAATGAGATGTGACGAGATGTGACGAGATGTGGGGATGGGTCAAAACCTATGAATTTCCATAGGTGCTTCAGAGGCGTACAAAAATTTTGATCCCTATGTGATTGCCTTTGCCTATGGCACCAATTGCTGAACCTCTGATTATGAGCTCTCCAGTTCTTTCCTCAGGTAGGGCTTCTGAAAGCATGACTTTCCACGGATTCTATTCAACAAATTCTTGACTTGGCCATGGTCACTTAGATCGCGACAAAAAGGAGTTTCGAACAGGATGTGATAACCCTTGTAAGCCTGGTACTGCTTCTCAACTACCAACGATGAATTAAGGGACATGTGACACATGTGCTCTGGGTAATTCCAATCCCAGATGTATGTCCTATATGTCGTGTATCAATATGGGGTCGGTACGACAGCGTTTTTATTTTTATTTTTAAGTCAAGGCCTTAATGGACTCCAATTTTCCTCCGTGGTGTGATGTCGTAATGTCCTTGTTTCTTGATGTCCGAAATCCGCTTGGACAACACACCACAAGTTCGACTCTTTTCGTTGTGGGTCGATCTTCCATGATCTTCCTATGTTTTGTGATGTTTTGTGGGCCAATAACTCTGTCTTTGCTGCGTATGATTCAATTAATTATGTGTGACATCATGACATCCTCATCTTTTGTTGGTCAAACCTGAATTTTTGATTGTCAAAGCCTCATATTTTTTGTTGTTAAAATGCCTTTGATAACATCCGCATTTCACTCTTCCGCCCCGATTCCGCCCCGATCTTTCGTTGTTGATCTCCACACTGACACCAAGGTCACACGTCACCTCAGAATATGCAGAAGCTGATGCAACAAAGCAGGGTTGGGACCCGTCACTGGGCCCAACTTGGCAATTGAGAAACGCTCAACAGGAGTCTCCCAGTATCAGCGATGACTTAAACACAGCGAGTGACTTTGGACTGGTGTTGCAAGACGGCCAGGGACAGGGTCAAGCCACGCCACCAATCAGTTTTGCCTGGCCCAAGCCCGTGACATATCGCCGGATCACCCAAAATCCCACGAAGATATGCATCTCAACGTACAAATGACCAGATGAACATAGTGTAATTACATGTGTATACCTGAACCGGAAGCCCTGCATATGTATGACACATGTAATATCTATGTATGCATATATATATACACATATGTATATGCACGGCACGAGAAAGCCTCACATGCCCCTTGTATATATATATTATGTGTACTTACATGTTTTTGTACTTATAATGTGTATATTTCCCATAGCAAAGTTCGCACAGACACATAGGCCGTGCCGTTTTTGTTTGAGTAGCTCCGAGGCGAGTGGCAGCAGCAGCAGCAGGCCAATAAGGCGAAGCTGGATGCAACGTTGGCCAAGTTCAAGAATATGAAGTTCCCAAGCGGCTATGGCTGAAAGTGGCATTGGTGGCAGGATTGGACACGAAAATCACATGAGATTTATTAGGGAGATCAATAACCAGAAAAAAGGCAAAGATCTGATGATGGGATATTTGTCAGGGATATAGTATGATATATCTACTGGTGGATATCCACAGATTCTTAACATATTTGTAGATAAACGCAAGGAGACTTTGTCAGTATATCTAATGATGGGGATATAATCAACGGGTATTGAATGGAGATTTTGTGAACCCCAATAATTGGGAGGATCGGATATGAATCAAAGGGGAGAATGGTTAGCTATGTATATTCAGCTATATCCCACTTGTCTCGGTTCTCTGAGTCATTTGGGGTTAAGGAAATCAACTGATCGGTGACAGCACAGTTCATGAACAGAAGGGACCCCCAAAACTGTGACCATTCCGAGTTTGAAGAAAACGAATTATGGCGCAACTGGGGGTGATCCTCCAACTACCAGGGATACCTGGATACCCTTTGTGACAACTCACCTATTTGTGGATTAGGTTCCTATTCCAAGCTCTGTTTTTCGTCCAAGCTATGGCTTAGAACACGGGAATGGTGTCCAAGAAAAGCTGGGGGAAAAACAAAAACAAAGCATCAACGTGCAAGATGCCCATCACTGGTGTTTTTTGCTTGTGTTTTTACCCAGAAGTATCACGATTTCTGTGCGAGTTACCCACCTTTGTCCATCCGTTTCATCAAACATTTTTGCATATTTTAGCAGAAAATTATGCCATCAGTATCCACATGTTTGAGAAGATCAGTATCCACATGGCCATCCGTAACCTTCCCCCCATCCCCTTCCCAGGTCACTGGAAGCCGCTGAAAAAGTCCGTGCAGAACGGTTTCGGAAGCTCCGGGTCCAACAGCTTCGACTTGCAGACCTTTGGGCAGGGCCAATTCCCCCAGGCGCGAAAGGTGGTGAAGCAGCACCCGAGTTCCCCTAAAAGGGAGGAATCATGGTCATAAGGTAAATCAAATTAGTGAACTATGATTATGATTATGATTAATAACTAATATATGCATCTATATGCACACACACACATATATATATATGTATGTATGTATGACAAAAATATAATCATGCCAAGAATGATAGGAAGAAGAACGCCAATCTCCAACAGCGGTTCCAAAGTGCTCCTAGTGACACTGCCTGGCCAGGGCCGATGAGTCTGAGATTCACGGGAACCTAAGGAAGGGATCATGACAGGCACCCCCATTTGTTGGGTAAATTGGGTAAATTATCATCCGTTTCTGCCTGAACTTTCTCCAATTTCTTTCGGTCAATTGTCACTACCACCCATGTTTTGCAGTAAATAACATCCAACTTTTGGTCAACTAGCCCAGGGTTTCAACAACTATTCATTTTTTTTGGTGAACTAAAGATCAAAATGTTCATTGTTTGCTGACCTTTTTGTTGGTGTTGATATGCTGATTTTGCTGGCTGCCCCCGATGTGCGGGCGGCGCAGCGCGGTGCGCGGATTGTCGCATGCTGGAAGCGGCTGGAAGATGCTTTTATGGGCAATACACATATGTCGACGTATGTTCCTAGCTTGGTTGCCGGCCAAAGATTTTGGGATTCAGCCAGCACTCAAGGCTATCTAAGCTGAAGACAACTATGTATAACCTATGATCCTTATTATATTATTGTTGTTATTGTTACTATGATTATCATTATGATGATGACTATCACTATTATTATGATTATAATAGAAGATAATGATAAGTAGATAATCATAGGTTGTCATTATGATGATGACTATCCTTATGTATAACCTATCATTATCATGGTGTCCACGATCCAAGTAGATCGAAGAGGACAAGCACTTTTGGACCCATCATCCAGAAGCAGATGGATGCGCAGCTATGCCTCGCGCCGGGTCTGCCTCGACTTCTTGAAAGGTAGGAAAGGTAGGATCTAAATGATGCGATAAATCAGGGTATCATAAATGGGATGGTCATGATAGAATCAGATGATGAGGTGTAATGATTAGTGTAATGAGTATTATGGTCAAAACTCTGGAATATCATTGATTCTAGCCATTTTGGGGCTCTTTTAGAGACGTTTCTTTTTGGAGGAACGATGGATTATTGAAGTAAAAAGCAAAAGTAGTCTCAATCATTTACAGTGACTGATAAACGGCCGACCAAGGCCTATAAAAATTGCTTCAGATTGGGAAATCAGTCCTGAGTCAGGTTCATGTGGAATTATCCAGACGCTTGATACATAAGAGCACAGAAGGGTTGAACTTGTGTAGATCTAGATCTCAACATCTCTACTTTAGAACCATCCCCAATTTACTCACGTTCTCCGTTTTTGGGTACTGTAACCAAGCCCCCCTTAATATTGTTTGAACATCCCCATTTGATGGTCAAAATTTCATGATATCTTGTATTCCATTATTATCCCCATGTGATGGTTAAAATTCCATTAATCATCCCATTAACAATCCCATTAATAGTCCCATTGCTTATCCCACTGAATATCCATTTAACATCAGCCTGATTATTGGGTTTACCACGTTATGCTCTTCGTTGGGCTCAAACTTACCATGCAGAAGAGTGGGCATTTGGTAGTGCTACTTTGAAAAGGATGTTGAAAACGAAATTATGGAAGCTATGAGATCTATGAATGGTATAGTTGATGGTTTTTCTTTCTACTGAGTCCATTCCTGATAGATCGTGGACTCAAAATCCCCCTTGGGGGAGTGCTATATCGTGGTTTAGATGGGACAGGCCAACACTCTAATTAGTGCACGTCAATATGTCCAGAGACCAAAGCGCAAACGGCGACTTGAAAAAGAAGAAAGCGCGCAGATCTGAGAATGTTTTTTCACAGCCCAAAGCAGATGATTTGCTGGTTTCCACGCCATGAATTGTCGGTTTCCATGGCATGGCATGGAAGTATCCCCACAAAACAACTGGTTGATTGTGCCCATTGCAGGCAACCGATTTTCCAAACATATAGTCTTTAAAAAACGTAAAGCCACAGTACATCTCCAGACCAACCATTTTTCATAGATTACATCCCAAGTTCGGTAGAAAAACCCATCATTATCCCATTTTCACCAAATTTTGGGTACCTGGGTACCCATTTCTTGGGTGAAATCCCTGTCTGCCTCGGCCGCAGCCATTGATCCAGCAACGAGCAGCTGCTTCTTATTTACTGCCGGAGCCTTGGGTAAAACAGGACACCAACAATATGTAGCCGAGAAAGACGGGGATGTGCCACACCTAGAAGCAACAGGTGGACAACTGGCGGAGCGGAAAGACAATGAGGACTTAAGACCTGGACCAAATGGGGTGTCCCCGGCAGTGTTTCACCCCCCTCTGGTGGTTTTTAAATTTTAAATCTTTCAAAAGCTATCCCACTACTTCCCACTGGATCTATTTGGGATGATCCAATTCATTACTATCTTTGGGAGTTCAAACTGGCAACGATTAAAAGATGGTCGGCAGGCATCAGTATGAGCCGCCTGCCGATGCTTGAAATGACGATTTAAATGGTTTGCGGAGGTTCCAAGCCCTCTTCCCGGCTGCTGTTGGTTTCTTTTTGGATCACTTCCAGAAGCCATAAAGGCTGGACATATCCGGGTGTGGCTCAAACATAGGATCCCTGTACAAACTTGTACGGTTTGAGTACTTAACTATCCATTTTTCCTAAAGCCGTATGAACACTTCAAAGAAACGTAGAACATCATGGCACCAGCAGTACCAATATCCCTTCCGAAAACCTGCAGATAGCATGCCTTGTGGCATCATTTGCCAGCTTCATTATGATGGTGGTGGTTCCGTGCAATACCACGACGCTTCCGGAGCTTCGGTGTGTCTGCCATTCTTGCAGTGTGCGAAGCTGCGGATTGGTCAGCAGGTGGCGTTTGCAGTGAGCCAAAGAGGAGAAGTCATTGATATTGAGGTGTGTGGAGGACAGCAAGAGAATTCCAACAAAAACGCTGGATGTGACCCCCTTGCGCTGGAGATTTCAGATTGGATACCTTCGGTGCTGCCCACCACAAAGGTTTCGAGAGAGCTGCAAACTCGAAGACTTCAGCGCAGCATTGGCAAATTTAACAATGCCACTCCGGACGAAAGGATGGAGATGCTGACCCAAGCAGAAAGGTTGTTAGAAAGCTTGTTGAATGAAGCTACTTTGGATGGGAATGCCATTTGCAGATTGGTGTGTCGTTGTGTTGGATGGCTTCATCCTGAAAAAAATGCTCAAGCTTCAGTTGAATCAAAATGTGTCGCTGATGCGGTTGCTGGGGTGTCTCAATCCACCAACTTGCAGTGTCGTGTCAGGCGTTTGTTGATCTTGGCTTTGAGTTCCTTGGATTTGAGCGACATTACTACCTACCAGGCAGTTGAAACAGCGGTGGCATACATCGCCCAACTGATGAAGGCGTGCGATGACAAGGCTTCACGCGCAAGGCAATGGCAGCGACTGGGGGAGTTGATAGGTAACTTTGGTGGTGGAGATTGCGATGATTGCGCCAATCAACCAGGGAGATCCCAAGACACACCAGGAAGGCCCAAAGTTGGTATTTTGTGTAGCCAAGATCCAGGTACTTTTCTTGAGGCCAACCATGAAACAAAGATGCTCAAACGGCAGATCACCGGCGAAGACAGAGCTGGGATGCTGGAGGGTGCCTATTACCCAAGTAAAAAGGTGAAGGGTTTAGACTCCGTCTTCAGTTCTGACGAAGCTGTGCGACTGGAATGCCCCATGTGCCACGAAAGTATCAGTAGCAACTGGTACTGGAAGCATCCCAAAACTGAGGATGTCTATGTGTTGGTTCCATCCAAAGGTCATTCAGCTTGCAACAGAAAGGTTGGCAAGAGATGTTACTGGCGGGCAGATGGCAAGCCGACTTTGTTGGATAATTTCCAGCAGTTGGACTTTTGTCCGCACCATCGTCGGCGTGTGGTCTGTCGAGATTGTGGAGGTAGCCAGATTTGTTGCCACCAGAAGCCGTGGTACCATTGTGCCGTGTGCAAAATGCGACCACGAATCAGGAAGAAAAGTGTCAAGCCGCAAAATGGCAAAGCCAGCTATGGCAGCTATGGGCTGTGGGTGTGATCTCTCCACCTTTTTTGAGATAATGCCACGGGTATGACTACTTGGTTAGAATGGTTTGTGCGATGTTGCATCTTACCCACACATGCACACCGTTGGCCCTGTTCACTATTTGGAAACGGCCAGGCGTTTGTCGGTTCAAGAATGGCAACCCCATGTAGGCTTTGCAGTGGTTGCTTTGGCTTATTGGCAGATATGTACTTTGAGCCAACTTCTACTTCGAAAATGCTCGCGAACTATTCAGTTACCAGTGGTGGCTAACCATTGTTTCTGGTCAAATCCCTTGTTCACTCCCGTTTTTTTGCTGCTATTTTTTCCCGATCAAAAGATCCACATGATATTGTTGATTACACAACAACCATCCCAGTTTATCACACTATATAATGCATTATTAATGATCGGCAGCTAGTAATAAACAACAATAAATCAGAGCCATAATGAGCATTGGCAAGACGATATACAGTCGACTGCAATTGATACGGTGAACACGCCTGTAAGAATCCCATCAAGCATGATAGCAGTAGTTTACTGGCAGTAACCGTATAATCAACACACATTGTAATCAAAAATAATCATTATAGACATATTATTATTATTGTTATTATTATCACAATTATTATTAATAATTAGTACTCATATAATAGTGAATAATCACTAATTAACAATAATAGTAAGCTCAGTTATTGCGAATAATCAATACCGAGGTCATGGAGGCGCCGGTACTGACTCCAGGCGTTTCTGCTGGGTGCTGGGTTTCTGGGTGCATTTCTGGGAGATGGGAAGCCCAACATGAACTAAGAAACATTGACAACAGGTGTACAGAAATGTGGATACTGCCCAACAACTATGGGAAATCAATATGGGATTTTATGGGGATGGTCATTTCTAGTAGGAACCATCCAATTTTCGTTGAAATCTGCCCACCATTTCTTCCTCAGATTGGTTGGAACAAACATTTGCAGGACACCCTTGGTTTTCATGCACAAAAAAAATGGTTTCAGCTAAAGGATGGAGTTGACGACTTCAAGATGGGATTTGAGGTGTGAAAATGGCTTTTCAACCCACCAACTATATATAGAATTATATTGTATATATTATATATATAGGGATTCAATTACCAACATCGGGATATGAAACCATTTTAAGTCTTTGGTTCTAGCAAAGACTTGGTGTGTACTGGGATATCACCAGCAATGTGTCGAGGTCAGAAGTGAGACACCTGGGATGAGAAATGACCTCGACACAGGCGTCAGCCAGCGCGTCCAGCATGACTTCAGCATCCCTTCCTGCCCTTCCAGAGCTGGGTGGCTGGGAAATTTAGTTGGCAACTCGTTCCGGGATGTCACCACAAAGAATGGGATGAATGTGGATTCTACCAGCCAAAAATGGTGTGAATCATCGATTTCGCCATCGATTTAGCCATCAAACCAATGGATGATCGACTGTTTTTGTCGGGACAATTTTCTTAAAAATGTCTGAATCCAAAGATTTTCCGCTAGCCATAAAAAAAAATGGAGGACAACTAGCTGTTTTGCTGCTATTTTCAAGGTTTTCGACAAATTTCACGCATTTGGAAGCATTTCGTTTTTGGCCCAAAAGATGTTTTGTCAGACATATTTCAGAAATCTTCGGGACCATGGACAAGCTTTCAGAAATCTTGGTCAGATTTGTTTCAGAAAAATCAAACCTTGATTTATAGAAACTTACTAGACTGGAAAGTCTCAATTGTATGGTATTTGGCGATGTGTCAATACCGACCATATGAATCGGGGGATGAACATCCATAAACACCAGCTAGACAGTAGCTGGGTTTTAACCATACCCAATTGGAAGTTATCCACCCAATGCCCATGGCAGCCGTGTTTCAGTGAGGCGACCAAGCTTCGTTCAGACTGGCCTTTCGCAAAGCCGGATGGCTTGCGCTGCCGCTTCTTGGTAGAATGGGCTTGCCGTGGCAATACTGGGAGAATCATGGTAGGAAGGGGGATACTAGCAAATCAAATGGGGATTGCACCAACAAATTTTTTTTTTTTTTTTTCTGGGATTTGCACAAACCCATGATTCCACTTATCACTGCTCCCCAATATTTCGAAGGTGTTCCTTTATATGTCTCGACCCATCCCAACGGGTGAATCATCATTTTTTCTGTAAGAAAATATCCCCATCATTCTTTTTTACATTCCCAAATTCTTAATGGCTTATCAGCCAAAAATTGAAATCCCATCCCCACTTCATCCCGGAAATGCTATGTTATATCAGTTATATCCCATCATTATTTATCATTATTGATTATATTATGCTATAGCATGTTACATCCCCAAGATCCAAATTTTTGCTGAACATCATCCCCTGGAGGATGTTAATGGTCAATGGTCCTCAACAGGTTGCCGTGGCCTTGGTCACCGTGCGTGCCATGCCGGCCACCAGGAAACGCAAGGTGCGGGGATTTGGTCCACAAAAGTTGGGGATTCATCCAGCATCATCCTGCCAAAGATTAAAATGCAATACGTCCAGAATGCTGGGAGCTCAAAGTGTATCCAATTCTATGGTCGCTTTGGGGACAATGGGCTCCAGAACTTGAAGGTCCAATGTTTGGATGCCAAGATTGCTATACAAATACGATGATATACGTTGAAACCGGAGATTCAACCAGCAAACATTGGACTCCACAAAAGTCGGATTTAAACCAAGACAAACGAACAGGGGGTTACCCCCAAAAATGAATTCCTCAAGTCAAAAATGCCGCTAATCTACCAGGTTTTGGTGGTTGAAGAGTAGTCATACATGGCAGGCTGGGTCGGTCGTTGCCCTGCGCGGCCACAAAGAGGCCTGGGAGGGTCTGTAGGGTTGCTTGGAAAGATTCGATCCGGTTTTCCGATATGTTTATTGAATGGATGGCTTAAAGTTAAAGATGTGATACCAACGAACGGACGAGATGGATGTGTATCCAACAAAAGAAGGGATTTGACCAACAAACAACTGGAGAATTCATCAACAGAAAAGATCTGTGGGGATTTCGGGACAAAGACATATTAGCATGACTAAAAACCACCCTGTGTTTTTTTTTTGACAGCCCAGAAATCCCTGGGGTGCAGTGACAAATGCCGATGTTGCAAAAATCTGGAAGTATCAAAGGCCCAGTGACTGCCAAACATCTACCCAAAAACACCTGTTTTGTCGCAGTGGATCTTTCTGGAGGATATCCCCCATACTTGATTACATGATTACAATACTATCAGCCTTGTGAGTACTGTAAAATCATCAGAATCGGACAAAGCTGTTGAAGTAGTGGTTCCCATTTATGATATCTTTTGATCTTTATTCCCGCTTTCGCTGGTGAATTCAAAATTCCTACCATAGTATTTTCAATGTCGATAGTGAACATGTCACTGGTAAACATGTTTTCATTCCTTTTTCCCACTTTTGATGATAAAGCAATGTTGCCACGGATTTTCAAGAAACATCCAGATTTTGCTGGTTCAACTCGCCCTCTGAAGCAATTGGTGCCTATGGCGCAGGGTCGTGCCCTGGTGGTGGGCGGTGGTGTAGCTGGCCTAGCGACTGCCGCACAGCTGGCACGAGAAGGGATGGAGGTGGGGGGATTTGCAGCGAAAAAATGGGGGATTCTACCAGCAAACATGGGGATTTAATTTTGGATTTCATGGGATTGAACGCATTTCACGGAAAAACAGTGCGAAATGAAGCATGAATCTTCGATTCAATCAGACATGATATCTTGGTGATTCGACCGAGAATCTGACATCCAGCAGGAACGAAGATTAAACCAGACATATTGGCATCATATTGGCATCATATTGGCATATTAGTTTGTAGATGTTTGTAGATGTTTGTAGTGCCATGTTGGTCAGATTTCCATTTGTGGCCATGGCACGGTGCAGGTGACGCTGTTTGAGAAGAACAGCGAGGTCGGCGGCCGCTGCCAATCCATGCAGTCCACAACGGTCAAGGGCTACCGCCACCTGGCGTGGGTGGGATCTGGGTGAACAGCACCCTCTGGAAATTTAACATAGCTATTGAAAATGACCATTTATAGTGGATTTTCCCATTGAAAATGGTGATTTTCCATAGTTATGTTAGTTTACGAGAGGGTAACCTGTTTTGGATGTGGGTAAAAGAAGGGCACTGTAGACCAGTGACGTCCCATTGATTTTGCTCGCAATTGCTGGAAGATGTGACTTATGCGACTCTCTTGATGTTATCACAGGCGCCCCAATAGATAGATTATTATGATTATTTGCCGCAATGTCAATGAATTTCGTTTCCTACTCAGAACTGTTCCTAATTATTGAGGGATTCTAAGTCCGCCAGTGAGATTCGCTACGGCCCAGATATGTCAGAAAGAAAGCAGAGCTCCATTGGTTTCCCTAGACCATCAACTCCCAGAAACATAGCACAAATCAGTGCAACTCCAAGGTTGGGACACTGGTCCTTCATTGCTTCTGTTGCCGAAGAAGTATGAGGAGCTGCGAAGTGGATCTGTCAGAGGTCCAGGATGTTGGCACGCACTGAAATCTAACGACTGAAATCTAACGCCAAACATGATCAGATCATTGATGAAATCGGATGATCAGTTCCGTTTCCGTCATATCAAACGATTTCACATTTTTTCATCATGTCTTGTAATTTTTTTCTGTCGGATACTTTGCACACGCTGTCCGATGGTCCAATGACTGTACAGCCGATTGACCCAGGGTAACCTTTTGACAGTTCCATTTCCATCTCAACCTTTGGGGTTTTAGGTCTACTTGGGTGTTTTTCCCCTTTTCGCCAGATGTTTGATGGGCCGTCACCATGGCTGCTTGAAATACGTTGCACATCCTGGCTGTTCTGCCGTCCCTCTAGGACGCTTACAAGCGTTTGGGCTCCGATATTAAGAAAGAGCTGAATCTGAAACGTGTTGCTTGGGCCAACATTGGAATGACTTTGTGGTTGGCTTTCTGACAAGTGCCCTCAAGATGAGGTTCTCTTATATCATATCTATGTCTCTTGGAACCCATGTTCATCTTATATTTGTGTATACATGTTCTATGTATGTACCATTCTGGATGTGGGAGAGATCAAACAATGGAATGCGGATATTCTCCAGATCTCCTTTGAGTGCAAGGGCGCAATTCAAGGCATGATTTGATGCGAACCAGCAACTGGCTCAAAGGGTCAGAAGCTGCGGTTGGCTTTGCGCCGTTTCCAACGGATGGGCTCTCCGCACTTCCCCAACTCTCAAGCATTTGATCCAGACGTTGCTGGCACACTGATGTTGCACCTCAGGTGGATCCACCATATCGCGTGACCTTTGGAGATGAAAGCTTTGTGGACGTGGACTACGACCCAATGTGGCTTGCCACGGGGCTACCTTCAGCACGGGAAAACGTGGTTGGTGAGTGGTTCAGCTCTGAGTATTTTCTACATCTTTGTAGGGAGGTAAATCATAGAGCCTTCCTTAAAAGTTCGATTTGAGGAGCATCCAGCATCAGAGATTGCAAATCTCGGGAACCGAGGATAAAGAAGCAGCGGAACAAACCGTCATCACGCATGAACATTCGTTGGCAAAATAGGTCTCCAACTGTACTCATTATACTGTACCTGGCCTAGTTCCATCCTGGTGTTTATCCGTTTTATTCTTGTCCACCATACCGATTTCTACCGGTCACATCCCCATTTTTGTCAGGTGGGTTGGCTCAAAATTTATCCACAAGAAATTCGATGGTTAAATAGAACATATTTAGTGTATGAACCCATTTGTACCCCATTTTGTGTCGCCATACCCAGTCAGCCACCTCCATCTGCACAATGGTTTGCCGATTGCCACCCAAACTTAGATATTTCTGGGAATGCATCAGAAACCTTGACAGCCTCCACAAAACAATTTTTCAATTTTCAACAAGAAAAACCCTTCGATGGATAAAGGGACACCTGCGAACTCAGGAAGATGACGGAACAAATGGAGAAATTTGAACCTGGTTGTACCAGCTCCTTGGGCCAAACATTGAGGATTTAAACTGGAAAAACATGTGAACGAAATGGTAGGATGAGTCATGGAAATCAAATTGATAGCGACTCATAGCTTGGGGGGTTGAGATGATTTTCATCAAACATGGGCCGCCCTGATGGACAAAAACCTGTGCGATGTAGTGGGTATGTGATTTCTGCATTGGAATGTAAACCAAAAACGATCAGTGACCAGGAATCCAAGAGTAAAATCATCCAGAAACCATGCACTTCCTGTTGTCAATGTGAACCTTTCCCCAGGATTCTGAACCACAAAACCCGATGATGAAACTTCCATCCACAAATCAGGTAATTACTACCGTTTTCTTTCGGTGGCTCGAAGAATGCTGGATATGGGATTAGATCCTTGGCTGCAGTGGGCAGGTGTGTTCTGTTGGACCTGTATCTAGGATTTCACCATGTGATCGCAATCTGATACCACCATTGATTCAGTTGAACAATTGTTTTGTGAAAATGATCCCATAGCCCAATACCCCAATTTGTATGATTTTACCCCGATTTCTATTGGATTTCTATTGGATTTCTATTGGATTTCTATGGGAAACACATCTCCGCTGTCGCTGCAACGGGGAGGAACGCTTCGTGGATCGACAATTTGAAAGTTGGCCAGAGCTGGTGGATCCTATAGGCCATTGGTGGTGGGGATGCACCCAACAAAGATGGAGAAAAGGATTGCTGGAAATGACGACTAAAACAGGAGGACACCCCTGCCCCCCCCAAAAAGATAATCTGAAAGAACCTGGGGAGAGGGAATTTATGAGCAACAGACAATAATAAACATATAGAATCATATAGATATACTATGATATAATATGATATAATATAAACATATATCATTAATAGATATAATATAATCTACATATATATATATATATAATATAAACATATATCATTTATAGATATTATATAATCTACATATGTATATATATAAACATATATCATTAATAGATATTATATAATCTACATATGTATATATATATAAACATATATCATTAATAGATATTATATAATCTACATATGTATATATATATAAACATATATCATTTATAGATATTATATAATCTACATATGTATATATATATATATAAACATATATCATTTATAGATATTATATAATCTACATTTGTTTTTATATATAGATATCATATATGTTTAATATCACCTGCTTCAAAGGCAACTCCTTTGGTGATTCGCCAGCGACTTGTGGCCAGGTTTGCTACCTGAGATGATCCTGAAAGGATGGTTTTCCATACCGCTGGTGAATATGTCGCTTGGCAGCAGCAAAAATAGGGCGTATCTCCCAACCATTGGTTTATCATGGTTTATCCAATGTTTATCCAATGTTTATCCAATGTTTATCCAATGTTTATCATGGTTTATCCAATGTTTATCATGGTTTATTCAATGGTTTATCCCAGGTGAGATGAAGATTAATTGAGGCATTGAGGCGCTCTAAACACTTAGGGGTCCCCATGCCATGCGCCTTGCAAACAGTCACTTCACCACATTCCATGATGGGTTTTAGCTACCGGCCCGTGACATCAGGAGTTGTTGGAAACTGAGGCTTTTTTCCATTGATGACTTATTGAAGGCTTGGTTCCAGGACAGCCTGGGACGTGAAGGGGACCAAACAGTGTCCCTTTCGCTGGTTTCATGTTGATGTTTTGAGCTGTAACTAGCACCAGATGCTCCATGCAGATTTACACAGAACCATACGCAGCACCTTTTCGTGGCCTTCAGTTCGGCCCAGTATTTGCGGAAACGAATGACGAATGGGTGCGGATTTCTTGCGAGTATCTGAGACACAGGTGCTTATTCCAAAGAGTTTTGCGGGGTGGTAGCCAGCAATCGTTATTGTCAATGAAGCATCCCCATTCTTGTGACTTCTTACGCCTCCACAAATCTTGTCTGACTATACCGATTGCTTTCCATCACTCTTGGTTACCGTATCCGAAAATATTGGAACTGTTCCAAGGCGCTAAGTGCACTGCACTGCAGATGGTAGTGATGCTTATTTTGCAACCATATGTTTCTTCTTTGGATAGTTGGATAATGTGTTTTGACCCATGCCTATATCATGATGAGCAGAATAGTTGGCCTTGAGTCATATTCCTCTTGTTGTAGGGTATACCATCATTTTGTTGCTTATTTGTTAAATTCTTTTCACTACACCAGATGAAGTGGTCAGTTTTCGAGTCACAAACCATTCATCGGCACTTGACCTGCTTGATCAATGCCCCGGACTGTGAATCCGCCCATTTATTGGTCACATCTCTATTTTGCTTAACATCGCCATTTATGTCAATTCTTCATCATTGGGGATGAACAGTGCTGAAATCCCCACATTTTGCTTTCCCGACAGGATGAGAGACTCAGAGCGCTTTTTAGCTTCCAGACCCTCTACGTGACGTGGTTGATGGGGAGCTGGGGATGCTTCAACGGAACAAATAGAGATAGTAACTCATAGATTTATACCATCAAAATGGGATTTAAGTTGGAAGGGTGAGGATTTTTATGGGAAACAATGGGGACATAATCAACATATGATGGGATTGTCACATAACAACCAGGAGGGAAACAAATAGGAATGGAGGTATCGACCAACCTGTGGGGAATGAGTCAAAACCGAACACGCCAAAACTTGGGGTCAGAACATGTTGCTCAGGTACCACGAGTTGTGGTGCTGTAAAACGTCCCCAAGACAAATGCTGTAGATCGAGCACCAAAAAGAAAGATGAAACACGGAAAAACATGATGACACATGCCAAAATAATGCTGACAGCTGCTGACCAGCTGAAATCTGAGGTTGGCCTCACCCCTTACAATTCTCCGGGCGCTTTATGTTTGCTCGCCGGCACCGACCTTACTGATGGCGTTTGGTATCCCATGGGAGGCCGGGTATGGCGGGGATGGAAGGGGTCCCTGCGACAAAAGGGGGCTGGGAACTCCGGCGAAGAAGGTATACGTGAAAGACAAAACTCTTAATATCTCTTAATTATGTATTGTTTTGTGTAGACCGTATATACATACGCGCACACGCACACATGTGTATATATATATATGTTCAATATACGACATATGAGAGGTGCGGCTTGAAACATCGGATTTACTGTTGAGCTGCCCGACATTCTGACTTGGATGCAGATACAAACAGCACACAGAATTGCACATCGTATATCGCACATTGACACTTTGAGCCACTTCTATATGTTCCACTCTACTCGTGCATCATTTCATAATTTCAGGTTGGAAGGGTGTCAAAGACACCTTGGCGGGACTGGCCCAACAGCACGGGGTTGAGATTAAGACCAACGTTGCGGTGGAAGAGGTCATCGTCTCTGGGGGTCGAGCAGTGGGCGTGAAGCTCCAGGGAGGTGTTGAAGAGAGCCTTGGCGCCGATCAGTTGGCCATCGGGGACGACTGGTGGAACTGGAAACTCACCATGTTTTCAAGGAAAATGATCTGAGGAATTCCCATTGTATTTGGAATTTTTGGAAGAAGTTGCTCAAAATGTGAAATTCCTCAGCTTAAAGGATCAGCTCCCAAGGGGTTGTGTTCCACTTCTATGCGTGTATCAGGTACTGGTAGGGTGAGTGGAATGGTTTGAGCGGGAATGTGAACAACAAAATATTGAACGTGAACAACAAAATCTTGCATGCTCTGATGAAATATATGAAATTGAATGGTTGGAAATCCCAAACTTGCAATGCAAGGCAAATCTAAGCGATCTAACCCGCTTTTGTTTGGGATTTTCCATCTCGGGGTGTGCCACTCAGGAGGGGAGATGTGGTGGTGGTCAATGCTGACACGCCTTATGCCTACCAGAAGCTGTTGGAACACACTGGCCAGGTGGGACACTGTGGAGGAGGTGGAACCTGTAATGTTAGCCTTGTGTTGGTGGGGGCAGCATCTACAAATCGGACATTTCCATTACAATGTTTAAGATTGTTTAAGTATGTTTAAGTCAAGTGTTACTGATATGTATGTATATATGTATATATGTATATATGTATATATGTATATATGTATATATGTATATATGTATATATATACACACATACATACTAGAAACCCAAGTTTTAGCTATGATATACCTCCGTTGAGTCCTTTTTTCAACCCATTTTCGGATGGGTTTAATCTGCCAGGCCTCGGCCGCGGACGCGCCATCGGTGGAGTCGACGGCGGAGGACCTGGATGGCCGGGAGTATTCCTGCGGCGTCATCGCCTTTTTTTGGGCCACCTGGATCACCTGGATCTGGACCTGGACCTGGACAGAAAGGGAAGAAAAGGATGGAAAAGTCATAGGTCATTGGTACAATGCGTGGCTTGGAATCCTGGAGATGAAATGATGAAATGATGTTGAATAGATTGAATAGATGTTGATAGACATGTGATCCTTTTACTGGAAGTTGAGTGGTTTTAGATCTGCGTGGCTATCGGGGCTACACCTGCAATGGTAGCTGGGAAATCCAGCACTTTTTTTTTTGAGTAACATAATAAGAGGTGGATTCCGCCTAAAGTAGCACTGCAAAGAAGGCATTTTGTGAACATTGGTGAACCAGGTTCTAAGGTTATTCTAAGGTTATACATTGGTGAATACAGCCATTGTGAAAAATCAGCTTTTTCTCAGGTGCCTCAGCCCACCCGAATCGGTTGGTGCTGAGGCCGTGGATTGCAAAGTGGACTACCTGCGTCAGAGCCTCAGAGGATTTCTACTATACCAGCTGAGGATTCACCAACGAATACTTTCACAAAGCCACAGCAAAACAACTAACTCCCATCCCAATCCATCCCACAAATTATGTCGGAGAACACTCCCAGCCCTGACAACGAGAAATCTTTCAGCTCCAGGGCACCACACCATTTTTCTGGGCACTCCCTTCGAGGAAAAGAAGGTGCTCATGTCGGACATGTCGGACATGTCGGAAGTCAAAATGATGCTCCAACTTGGACATTTCACTGTTCTAAAGTATAAGAATCAATCATGACCCAATGACCCAATAGCTCATAAGAACCTAATAGTAACATGTGGCACTTAGAATATATGTCGCATGAAGTAGCATGATGTGGCCATACTATCCCATGAAAGCAGTTTATAGTTACATATAGATCATACATATATAGATCATATATAGATCATATATAGATCATATATAGATCATATAGGTTTTCGTATAAGTTTATGAAACGAGCATTCTCCACATCCATCCTGGAGGCCTGGACACCCATCCTGGAGGCCTCCAAGATGCCTGAGAGGCCCAATTTCTATGTGCACTGTCCCACCAGGACGGTGGAACCCGTGGAACCCGTGGAACCATATGAAAAATCGCTGGCTTGGTATCGATTTGCTGCTTCCGGTATGGTGAATATCAATGGATGATTGGATTTTAATATTTATAATATGTACAATATTTAAAATATTTATAATACAGATTTCAAGTATTTTGTTTCGATCATTACAGTTATGCTTCAATCATTTTAGACCCTTCAGAAGTCAGCTTGTGATCTCCAGGACGGACCCTTCAGCAGCTCCCGAAGGATGTGTCACTGGGCGAAACATTCGTGGGGTCATTTTCAGATCGGGGATGATTCACCACATATTTTAAGATGTTTTGATGACTTGAAGCTTCAAACTGGGAAGATAAACATGGGAATACCAACAGGAATGGGGATAGAACCAACTGTCAGATATCACCTAGTTGGTGGTTTCTTCAAATTGAGCACTGATATGCTATGACCGATTGATCCAGAACTACCAGCAAAAAGAGTGAGACAACTCACACTTAGTGGTGATGTATCTTGGACTCTTGAAATAGTGGGGTATTTTGCCAGCAAAGAATGGGGATATATGAAAAGACCAAGACACCCGTGGATGTCACCGAATCAGGCGATGATTTTCTTGGTGCTGGGCTATCTCAAAGTGATGCCCAGCACAGGATGAGATCCCCAGATTCCATTGGATTCCTGAGTTATATCATGATCTTTTAACCTAAAGAAGTTTTATTCCTCAACGATCCTTGCATGGTGTAGCTAGATACTTGTACCAATCTAAGTCAATTGAAAATTCGTGCTCATGATATATCATGATATCATCCCAGGTGAATTCATCAGCCCAATTGGTTGCCGGCCGCCCAGGAAAGCATCATGGTGCTCTTTCCGGTGGCGAACATGCAACAGATGGCCGAGGTGCGCATCCCAGCAGTTGTCCCAACCCTTAAGATGAGGTGGTTTCCCCACCAAATCAAACACATCATTTACTCTGTATACTCAAAACATCCCAACATCCCAAATTTATGTTCATGATTTACATCTTTTTACATCTTTACCATATCTCCAGCATGTTCACATGGTGACTTCACCGCAGCTCAGGCAGGCTTCGTGCCGGGCGAAAAGGGCGAGGTGTACCGCGAGCTGCGTGCGGCGGCCAGGAAGGTGATCCTGCAACGCTTTAAGGTGCCGGGGGGTTGGGAAATCCCCCCAAAATGACGGTTTCTAGCTGGGAAATTGAGGTATAATTGATGGATTTTCCAGCCGTGTTTGATTATTGGAAGATAATTGACTTTAATCTTGCAAATCTGGTGCGAAATTCTTGGAGTTTTACTCATGTCTTGGGCAGGATGCCGGCTGTGGAGACATAGAGAAACACATCGTGGAGGAGACCGTGAGGCAACTGGTCACCAATTGTTGGATGAATTTTGGAAATTCCTGGTGGAGCAGTGTAACCTTTAGTAAAACTATACAGTATAACCATGTATAACCCATTTAGGTGTCTTCATGGTAGATGTTTGCAGCTTTTCATGGCAAGTTGGAGCTGGCAGGGATCCAGAAGTCATTGGCGAACTCTACAACCTCCACCATGGTGCCACCTTCGGTTCCCTGGCGCAGAGGCTGAAGATTGAGCCGCAAAAAGGGTCTTCTCGGTCTTCAAACAGCCAACTCACCATTTTATGTCACAAGGCAAAAGCTTGATATTTCCGAAGCAATCTGGGTGCGGCAAATGGTTTCATACTTCCCGCATCCTACATATTTGAAAAGAAAGGGGGTAGTTCAACAGTGGAATATTGTAGAACATGTAGTTCAATACGCAAAACCTTCACAGCGATATAGGGGACAACCCGTTTTGGTCATGTCCATTGGAAGCTGCCTGTGATTTTTTGCTTTGGGGATGATTCACCCAGCTTTCTTCAGGTGTGTTCACCCACTGCCTTTGACAATGGGGTCACAACATTTGTTGAGTCTTGTCCGACCATGGCACAATTGCATTCTCTTCAATATTCTTCAATCATCTTGCCGGATTTCTTGAATTTTCCAAAGAACTATCCAAAATTCTTATCCTTCCATCATCATTTGTTAAAAATCCTGGCATTTTCCGCAGTTTTTTGCCGATTTTTGCTGGATAGCCAGCTGATATGCCCTGAGGCCTGTCCCACGGCCTGTTGCCTTGGCAGGGCGGCTTGGCCATGACGCGGCCGGCGCCGCGCGCACCAGAGGCGCGGCATGGGATGGAAACCGTGGAAAGGTGATGAACATCGGAAACCGTGGCTGAACTGGTTGAACCATCTGAGTTTACCCTCTGGTAAACGTTTACATAACTATGGAAAATCACCATTTTCAATGGGAAAATCCACTATTTCTATGGTCATTTTCAATAGCTATGTTAAATTACCAGAGGGTATTTATTTTATTGTATCTTCTTTGAAATATATTTGATACTTTTGATATCGTCTAACCATGCTGATTTCAGGATGCTTCACCTGAAAAGATGTCAGCATGGGCACGACACCGATGATCGGGAAAGGTGGGAAACAAAACAAGCAAAGGATGTCCCCGGCCGATCCTGTAGGGCAATAATTTCCAGACGGCAACGGAAAAACATTCAAGATATTTCTTAAACTGGAACGCCCCTCCACAGAAGCGACGTGGCTTTTTCCAAACCACGGGGATTGCATCCAAAATCAAACAATGCCCATCCAAACCAGTCGAGTGTCACTGGTCAACCGGTCACCCAAAGTTTGATGCCAGGTGGACAAGCTGTACTTCGTCGGCGCCGGCACTCGGCCCGGCAACGGTGTGTGGGGAGAACCCAGCGGGGAATGTGGGTAGTTGGGGTCAAACAATTGGATGAAACGACCCCCATGATGTAAATAAGATTGAACAATGATGTTGCAAAAAAAAAACGCCCAGTATTGAAATATATTGAAATACACATCCAAAATCATCCAAAAGTATTCCAACTGTCCTTGTTGGTCTACTCTGTTTCCGTCCCGTATACCAAATCACTCAGGCCATTGGTGCTGATGGGTGCTGGCCTCACCTCCCAACTGATCCTGGATGATTTGAAGATCTCCAAGGTGCCGTATGGGAAATCTATGGGAAATCTATGGGAAATCAAGTGGAAATCCATGGGGGGGGTGCCAATGACTAGAAATCAATCCAATGATTTGGGTTTTGGTTGAAGTGCAGGGAAATTCTGATTACGATTTACAACTTCGAAGCCTTTTGGATGGCACTGCAGATGGGATTCTGAGATGACATGCGTGAACTGGAGGATGATGACACTCTATGGGAATTTCAGCTAAGGCTGGTGGAATTCAACGAAGTAAAGATCAGAGTAGTGAACATATTTCAGGTATCAAACCCAAAAAGAACCTCCGGGGGGTTGACATGGAACCCAACATGTTGCTGTTCCAACACTTTCAGCCAAGGTCTTGCACAATATTTGTAGGGGGATTTCGGCTGAGGGGTAGCAACGCGTAAAATCCAAAGATGGATAGGTTTACTTGGCCCACTTGAAATCCCAGTTTCTGCAGTTTCTTGAAAAAAACACCACTTACTTTGCTTCAATATGGTTACTTTACCATATGTTGTGAGCTTCTATCCCTGTTTGTGACCCATGGGTAAACCAATCTTTGGTTTCGGCCCCATGTCTGAGGTGCCTTCCTGACGCTGATGGCGCTGTTGCGAAAAATTCGCGTAGCTTTACAAAGGATTGCAGGGATCAAACATAGTTCCTTTGAAAGGGCCCTTAAATCCACAGATTGACTGTTGAATTTTGATGAATTTTCAGTGTGAACCCATTCTGTTGCCCCCATGCTGTTACATGCTGTTACCCTTCAGAAATGGTTGTTGCTGTTGTTGCTTCCTTCGTTTGAGGGGGTTTGGATTCCCACTGACATGGAATTGCGGCGTCATTGTGATCAAAGGTCTGCTTGGATGAAGTTGGCTGGCAACGAGAATCCGCGTCAGCATGGAACACTTTGAAACTGCAGCTTTTTGCTCGAACAAAATGAAAAAACATGGTTCACTCTAAATCAGGTTTTTGGATAGAGCAAGGCAAGGCCTGAAAATAATCCAGTGACGATGCAAAGAGGTGATGCAAGCACGTCACAAGGTTGACCTCCCCGAAGCACTCGGATCTAACCGGTGAACCACGGGGAACCCAACTTAGTCCTACATCCGTGAAGTATTGGCTGTATTTTGTACGCACTTATAATGATGTAATTTTGGGATGTTGTGGCACCCAAACTCTCCCGTTGTTCCCATCATCTTCCCATCTAAATGGCTGCAATCTGATTCAACAAATGGTGAAATGGTGAAATGATCCCCACATCGCCTGGCTGCCCAAAGGGGTGGCCCTTTCGCTGATGCGGCATGGAATTGCTGTGGCGCTCACTTCATCCGCGGAAGCCCGTGGTACCACGATTGAACAAATGTGGCCAGAAATGGTCGGTTTTTAAGGGGCAAGTTATGACCAAGCAATGAATTTAGCATTTGGATGTCCATTGGAACACGTCCATTTAGCCAGGATAGGTTGGATTTTGGATCACTAAGGGTTCAAAACGCTGCTGCTCATGGTGGTTGAAAAAACCTTTCGCAACTACTCCCCCTGAAGAACTGGTGTGTTGCTTTTGGTGCGAAAAAGGCAGACGCATCCCAGCCTGGGAAGCAATCTGAGTCTCAGCTTTTTTGGGCAAGTTCGCCCAGTGGGGACACAGCCAGAAAGCAAACCTTCCATGGTACCGTTTTTGACCTGCCAACCTGGCGACATTCCGGGAGTTGGTGAAATGAGCGAGAAATTCATCACGACTGTGGTGATTCATCAAACTAAACATTTCAAACATCATCAAACTCAACATTTCAAGAATGGATATCTTTGAATTATGTTATGGATATCATCTTTGAATTGAGATCCATAACATATCCATAACATATGGAGGACGCGAAAGGCCCAGAGGAATGGGATGCACCTTGAGGAATCGGGACCCATCGGACTATACATCCACCAATTATATCCAATGATGTTTACATATAACACAGTAATAATGTGTTATATAATACATATATAATCATTACATATATATCATTAATATATGAATATATGTATATACTATATTATGATATATTATGATGATGTATTATTAATATATATATAATAACTATGATGATCTCCCAATCCCTCACTGGATCACTGGATCACCGGATCATCGCTGCCTGCCGAGGATCGCTTAGCTTTTGCGTACGGAAGCAACTGGGAGGCCCTGACGGCCCTGACGGCCGTGACGATAGCGGCAACCCATGGTGGTCAGGATTTTCCACAGGTGGTCAGGAGTACGGCAAGATTCAGGTGATTGTCCCATCTTAGATTTTTATTGAATTTATCAAATGTTTGTCTAAGTTGTAGAAGATTGAAGATCCGATACGTGGTGTTCATTGGTTACACCACCCCCACTTTTCTTGTGATTTGCTTCCTGAACTCCTTCTGAATGCGCGCCTACCTCTGTGACAAGTGATGACGAGTGCTCACCAGATTTCGTAGCATGGCTGGATGCAAGAAGCACCAGAATATATCAGAATGGTTACGCTTTGGATTCTTGCAAAAAAAGATTCCATCCGAATCTATCTCAGATGATGCATGGATACATCTCCGTCGGTCTCCTAAATAAGACGTTGCCTAATGCTCTCAATTGCTTCAATTATCCAAAAGAAGAAATTCTAGATGGGTCCCTCATTTGTAGGTTACAAACCTCCCCCAAATGCGCCAAATGCTCCTGAATGACCGTGGCACACCAGGCGAACTTGCGCGAGGTCCTGCAGAATCAGGGCTACACGCTGGCACCTCGACGGAGATTCAGCAGACGTGTAGACTTAGACGCGGCTACACGCTCCCAGCCGTCGGTTTGTCCCATGTAGAATCCTTGTTGAATCCTTGTTGTTTCTGTGTTGTTTCCTTGTTCATTCTGTGTTCATTCTGGCCCAGTTTGCCATCTCAGGAAGATGTGCAAGGCCGCATCTATGACACCAGTGGGAGGTGCGGGGTGCCAGGGCCCAGGGACTGATGGGCCGGAGTTGCCTACAAGCTGCCAATGGGCCAACCCTGAACAAGTGTTATATAGTGTTATGTATTTCTTGCCCGTGACAAGAGCCATGGTGGAGTGACCAGGGATGTGAAATCCTACCTTTGACTGGCCAAACCGACCCGTGTGCTGACAAACATGGAAAAGTCTCACAATCTGGGCCTGCGCATGCGACATGACCCTCTACTACAGTAGATCTCGGTAGTTTTGGGATGTTTCAGGTGGGCTTAGTCACTTACCAGTTTCGTTTTCGCACTTTGTGGGTCGCAGCGGGACATGGCAAGAACAAAAGGAGCGTCTGCCAGGCCCGTGGATATCTTGTACTTGGGAATCCTCACAGCAGAGCACTTCCCATTACAGCTGGAGCTACCCGACACAGGCGCCACATGGCGCCAGTGCTCTTGGGGCCTGAAGGATCATGACATGGGCCAAGGGGTAGATGACCAAGCAAACGTGGTGAGTGGGTTTTGGAGTTCCCAAAATTGAGAAACATGAGAAACAAAAACTGCAGGTGTGTCACTTGCAACCCTTCCTTGAGGTCAAACTCCCATTTTTTCCATGAATTATAGTTGCTCAGCGATAGGTTCCTCAGTCACGTGGCCATACTCTATTTTGCCTTTGCATGTGATACTCCAGCACAACAGGTAAGAGTGTTGAAGTAATACTCCCAAAAAGTGGGTGCTTCTATAGGCGGCTAGCCTGCCCGCTGCATGGCCTCCTCTGGTTTTGTAAGATAAATGTTAGGTGTGATTTATACAGTAACCATCATGAAGTAGACATAACATCCCCCATCTTCAATTACCAGGTCATTTTAAAGCTAGGACCATCCAGGACGCTTAAATCCCTGTATTTGATTCATTTCTTGTTCATTTCACATCTATGTTGGTTAAACGATGTTTGACACCCATATTTGCTGCTCATTTCTGCTGATGTCCCGATGTTTGCTGGTTATCTCATTTTGTTGGTCAAAATGCCATATTTTTCTGATAGAATACTGTTTGCGAATTTCTGGCGATGTTCGGTGCCAGGGACCAAAGCCTCCCTGCAGTTGAAATTGGAATTTCGCTTAGACGACGTTGGAGGCGCCAACGGTGGCGGACCAAAGCTGCGTTGCATTCATCCAGTGGCCAAAATTGGCGAGATTTCACCAACAAGAATAGGAAGTTGCTCAGCAAAAATGGAGGGTTTAGGCAGCAAGAATGGTTTGATCCAAAACATTTTGGATTCAATCAAGGACATACCAGGATATTATCCAAGAAACATTGGCAAATTAGGAGGATATGACCAGTGCAACTGTTGCAAAGGAAAGCCAATCAAAACGATGTATATTTTTTTGGTGATGCATGTGAATGAAATTTACATCATGTTGGTTATGATATGTTATAATCCACTGACTCTGGGGATGGGGATTAAACTATAACCAACAATTCTATCATGATCTTACTGGCTGACTGATTGACATGGCACCAACGGTCATGAAATGACTTTAAGCAACCAACAAAACTAAGGGTATGTCAGAATCAACAGGAAAAGGCGAACGATGAAAAACACAATTGGTGTATCGTCCCAAAGAGAAGAGGGTCGCCAACAAACATGTAGCGCGAGAGCACTGCAGTTACAACTACTTTTTCAAGCTTGACTTAATATGTGCAAGCGCTACCAGTGCAACTGCTGTAAACCAAACCTGTGCTAGTGGATCTGAGGTGCCGACATTCATTGTGCCAAATGCGAAAGCTTCAACCTGCTAAGCTGTCTCCAACCAAGAGTCTTCTGCGTGAAGAGCTTCGGCCCTCCTGCGTGGAGGCGTACATCAAAGGAAGCATCTTCTGCGTGAAGAGCTTCGGCCCTCCTGCGTGGAGGCGTACATCAAAGGAAGCATCTTCTGCGTGAAGAGCTTCGGCCCTCCTGTGTGGGGGCGCACATCAAAGGAAGCATCTTCTGTGTGAAGAGCTTCTGCCCTCCTGCGTGGAGGCGTACATCAAAGGAAGCATCTTCTGCGTGAAGAGCTTCGGCCCTCCTGTGTGGGGGCGCACATCAAAGGAAGCATCTTCTGCGTGAAGAGCTTCGGCCCTCCTGCGTGGAGGCGCACATCAAAGGAATCATCTTCTGCGTGAAGAGCTTCGGCCCTCCTGCGTGGAGGCGCACATCAAAGGAAGCATCTTCTGTGTGAAGAGCTTCGGCCCTCCTGCGTTCCTGCGTGGAGGCGCACATCAACGGAAGCATCTTCTGTGTGAAGAGCTTCGGCCCTCCTGCGTGGAGGCGCACATCAAAGGAAGCATTTTCTGCGTGAAGAGCTTTGAAGAGCTTCTGCCCTCCTGCGTGGAGGCGTACATCAAAGGAAGCATCTTCTGCGTGAAGAGCTTCGGCCCTCCTGTGTGGGGGCGCACATCATAGGAAGCATCTTCTGCGTGAAGAGCTTCGGCCCTCCTGCGTGGAGGCGCACATCAAAGGAAGCATCTTCTGTGTGAAGAGCTTCGGCCCTCCTGCGTGGAGGCGCACATCAAAGGAAGCATCTTCTGCGTGAAGAGCTTCGGCCCTCCTGCGTGGAGGCGCACATCAAAGGAAGCATCTTCTGCGTGAAGAGCTTCGGCCCTCCTGCATGGAGGTGCACATCAAAGGAAGCATTTTCTGCGTGAAGAGCTTTGAAGAGCTTCGTCCCTCCTGCGTGGAGGCGTACATCAAAGGAAGCATCTTCTGCGTGAAGAGCTTCGGCCCTCCTGTGTGGGGGCGCACATCATAGGAAGCATCTTCTGCGTGAAGAGCTTCGGCCCTCCTGCGTGGAGGCGCACAGCAAAGGAAGCATCTTCTGCGTGAAGAGCTTCGGCCCTCCTGCGTGGAGGCGCACATCAAAGGAAGCATCTTCTGCGTGAAGAGCTTCGGCCCTCCTGCGTGGAGGCGCACATCAAAGGAAGCATCTTCTGCGTGAAGAGCTTCGGCCCTCCTGCGTGGAGGCGCACATCATAGAAAGCATCTTCTGCGTGAAGAGCTTCGGCCCTCCTGCGTGGAGGCGCACATCAAAGGAAGCATCTTCTGCGTGAAGAGCTTCTGCCCTCCTGCGTGGAGGCGCACATCAAAGGAAGCATCTTCTGCGTGAAGAGCTTCGGCCCTCCTGCGTGGAGGCGCACATCATAGGAAGCATCTTCTGCGTGAAGAGCTTCGGCCCTCCTGCGTGGAGGCGCACATCAAAGGAAGCATCTTCTGCGTGAAGAGCTTCGGCCCTCCTGCGTGGAGGCGCACATCAAAGGAAGCATCTTCTGCGTGAAGAGCTTCGGCCCTCCTGCGTGGAGGCGCACATCAAAGGAAGCATCTTCTGTGTGAAGAGCTTCGGCCCTCCTGCGTGGAGGCGCACATCAAAGGAAGCATCTTCTGGCTGAAGAGCTTCGGCCTCCTGCGTGGAGGCGCACATCAGGAAGCATCTTTCTTAGTCAAGCATCTTTCTGAGTGAAGAGCTTCGGCCCTCCGCGTGGAGGCGCCATCAAAGGAACTCTTCTGCGTGAGACTTCGGCCTCCTGCTTGGAGCTCGCATCAAAGGAAGCATTTCTGCGTGAAAGCTTTGAAGAGCTCGTCCCTCCTGCGTGGAGGCGCAAACAATCAAGGACGCATCTTCGTGCGTGAAGAGCTTTCGCCCCCCGGCCCCCCCCCCCCTCCTGTGGGGGGCGCACATCATAGGACAGCATCTTCTGCGTGAAGAGCTTCGGCCCCCCTGCGGGAGGCCGCACATCAAAGGAACATCTTCTGTGTGAAAGCTTCGCCCTCCTCGTGGAGGGCCGCACATCAAAGGAAGCATCTTCTGCATGAAAGAGCTTTGGCCCCCTGCGTGAAGTCGCAACATCATGCGTGAAGACTTCGGCCTCCTGCGTGGAGGCGCACACAAAGGACGCATCTTCATGCGTGAAGAGCTTCGCCTCCTGCGTGGAGGCGCACATCAAAGAAGCATCCTTCTGCGTGAGAGCGTCGCCTCCTGCGTGAGGCGCAACATCAAGGAAAGCTCTTCTTGCTGAAAGCTTCAGCCTCCTCCTTGGGGCGCACATCACAGGAAGGCATCTTCTCATCTTCTGAGTGAAGAGCTTCGGCCCTCCTGCGTGGAGGGGCGCGCATCATAGGAAGCACCTTCTGAGTGAAGAGCTTCGGCCCTCCTGCATGGAGGCGCACATCAAAGGAAGCATCTTCTGCGTGAAGAGCTTCGGCCCTCCTGCGTGGAGGCACACGTCAAAGGAAGCATCTTCTGAGTGAAGAGCTTCAGCCCTCCTGCGTGCAGGCGCACATCAAAGGAAGCATCTTCTGAGTGAAGAGCTTCAGCCCTCCTGCGTGAAGGTGCACATCAAAGGAAGCATCTTCTGCGTGAAGAGCTTCGGCCCTCCTGCGTGGAGGCGCACATCCTAGGAAGCATCTTCTGCGTGAAGAGCTTCGGCCCTCCTGCGTGGAGGCGCACATCATAGGAAGCACCTTCTGAGTGAAGAGCTTCAGCCCTCCTGCGTGGAGGCGCACATCAAAGGAAGCATCTTCTGAGTGAGGAGCTTCGGCCCTCCTGAGTGGAGGCGCACATCAAAGGAAGCATCTTCTGCGTGAAGAGCTTTGAAGAGCTTCAGCCCTCCTGCGTGCAGGCGCGCATCAAAGGAAGCATCTTCTGAGTGAAGAGCTTCAGCCCTCCTGCGTGGAGGCGCACATCAAAGGAAGCATCTTCTGCGTGAAGAGCTTCGGCCCTCCTGCGTGGAGGCGCACATCCTAGGAAGCATCTTCTGCGTGAAGAGCTTCGGCCCTGCTGCGTGGAGGCGCACATCATAGGAAGCATCTTCTGCGTGAAGAGCTTCGGCCCTCCTGCATGGAGGTGCACATCAAAGCTTTGGCCCTCCTGCGGGGAGGCGCACATCAAAGGACGCATCTTCTGCGTGAAGAGCTTCGGCCCTCCTGCATGGAGGCGCACATCATAGGAAGCATCTTCTGCGTGAAGAGCTTCGGCCCTCCTGCATGGAGGCGCACATCATAGGAAGCATCTTCTGTGTGAAGGCTTCTAAGAGCTTCGGCCCTCCTGCGTGGAGGCGCACATCAAAGGAAGCATCTTCTGCGTGAAGAGCTTCGGCCCTCCTGCGTGGAGGCGCACATCAAAGGAAGCATCTTCTGCGTGAAGAGCTTCGGCCCTCCTGCGTGGAGGCGCACATCATAGAAAGCATCTTCTGCGTGAAGAGCTTCGGCCCTCCTGCGTGGAGGCGCACATCAAAGGAAGCATCTTCTGCGTGAAGAGCTTCTGCCCTCCTGCGTGGAGGCACACATCAAAGGAAGCATCTTCTGCGTGAAGAGCTTCGGCCCTCCTCCGTCATAGAAAGCATCTTCTGCGTGAAGAGCTTCGGCCCTCCTGCGTGGAGGCGCACATCAAAGGAAGCATCTTCTGCGTGAAGAGCTTCGCCCTCCTGCGTGGAGGCACAATCAAAGGAAGCATCTTCTGCGTGAAGAGCTTCGGCCCTCCTGCACATCAAGGAAGCATCTTCTGCGTGAAGAGCTTCGGCCCTCCTGCGTGGAGGCGCACATTCATAGGAAGCATCTTCTGCGTGAAGAGCTTCGGCCCTCCTGCGTGGAGGCGCACATCAAAGGAAGCATCTTCTGCGTGAAGAGCTTCGGCCCTCCTGCATGGAGGTGCAATCAAAGGAAGCATCTTCTGCGCAGGCGCATCAAAAGCTCTTCTCGAAGCGAGCTTTGGCCCTCCGGCTTGATGCGCCAGGAAGCATCTTCTGCGTGAAGAGCTTTGAAGAGCTTCGGCCCTCCTGCGTGGAGGCGCACATCAAAGGAAGCATCTTCTGCGTGAAGAGCTTCGGCCCTCCTGCGTGGAGGCGCACATCAAAGGAAGCATCATCTGTGTGAAGAGCTTCGGCCCTCCTGCGTGGAGGCGCACATCAAAGGAAGCATCTCCGGCGTGAAGAGCTCCGGCGTGAAGAGCTTCGGCCCTCCTCCGTGGAGGCGCACATGAAAGGAAGCATCTTCTGCGTGAAGAGCTTCGGCCCTCCTGCGTGGAGGCGCACTTTAAAGGAAGCATCTTCTGCGTGAAGAGCTTCTGCCCTCCTGCGTGGAGGCGCACATCAAAGGAAGC